TGGGGGCAATGACTTTGACAAGACTGGAGCTGGAGCTGGAGCTGGGGCTGGAGCTGGGGCTGGCGTGCTTCATTGTATGTGGGGTGACTTTGACAAGTGGTTACCATTTTTTAATGTCACATTTTGTGGCCACGCAACGGCTGCAACGGCTGCTGGCTTGCCAGTTAGCGGGCCAGTTGGTGGGGAGGGGCGAAGGTCGAACCCCTCCGCGCGTTTGCTTTTCACTGACCAATGAAGCGTGAATTTTGAAATTGAAATCATGAGTAGCAGGAGCAGAAATTGAACTCGCTGCCGCTGCCGCTGCTGCTGCTGCTGCTGGCTGACTGTTTATCTTCCACGTTGAATGCTTCATTGAGTTTTATGTAAAAAAAAAAAGAGAAAAAAAAAAGAAACAAAAACTCAACTTTGCGTAAGTAAAGAAAGAAAGGAATGAAAAATAGATTTTCATGCTGTCGAAGATGAAATGCCCTTGCCAGCGGCAGGCAAAAATGCCAGATCTTCTTTTTCCAACATGAACTCAATTCCCTTTGCTATCAATGCTTGCTGCTCAACAAATACTTTAAACTAATACATTTGTATTGAAGACAAATCGTCGTAGGATCGGAATCTTGACTTTTTATTAACAATAAACCGAACTCTGAACAGGTTTAATTGGGTAAAAAAAGACAACTGAATCGAATTTGTACATGAAATACACGCAATTGTTCTATTGAAAACTGTAAGGCATGCTTTTCACGAATCGAACCATAAGTGAAGGCGCTGGTTCAAACCGTGAAACGAAACAGCGAAAGCTTTTTGTTGCATGTGTGTATATTCTCTAAGATATATAATGCAAATTGTATTAAATGTTATGAGACAGAAATTCAGATACACGAATCGAACCATAAGTGAGGGCGCTGGTTCAAACCGTGAAACGAAACAGCTTTTGGGCTGATAAAACATGAAGAAATGAGATTCATTAGCAATAACTTTATTTATGATCGAGTATCTCTGCTCTAGGCAGAGTTTATTAGACGCAACAAAATGATCTCAGCTTCTCGTACAGCTCAAGAATGCATATGATTTGTGGCTCTAAGGATACATTTCCTGACCAAATGCTGTTGCTCTCGTCAAGTGCATTAGCCTGAAGTAAGCAAATGTATACGTAATTCCTTACTAGTGTAGGTATATATTTATATATAGTCTGTATACACTATGCTGTGCGCATATAGACACAGCATAAGCCCATAAACTCTCGGCTCGGGCAAACAGGCTGCGACAGAGGGCGAGGAGGACTCGAATAAAAGTTGTTGCTGCTTGTTGTTCGCCAGGACTAAGCCGTTTAAGCGTTCCGGCGCAAAGTGTTAACACCGGGCTGGGCAGCCACGCCCATGCGCCACGCCTACGCCCAATGGCGGCGCATTGAAGATTTGAATGCTTTATAATTACATTTTATGCGCGAGCAAGAGAGAGAGAGGGGGGGGGAGGGGGGGCGGGCGGTGGAGCAGGGGAGCCGCTGTCGTCAGCTCGTTTATATTGCATATTTCGCTGCCTTTTATACAGCATAATTACATAAACTTGTACATATAGATAAATGTATATATATATATGTGTGTATATATACAGTGATACAATTTATCAAAGCCAACAGGTGCGAGCAGGCACCTGGCGGCGGAGTCTTATTGAATGTCTGCGTTTACGTAATGGATTTTGTTGCTGTTGTTGTTGTTGTTTAATTGCATCAGTTTTATGCTCGACCCGTTGCCTTTTAATGGCCGCTCTCTTGGGCTTTCTCTGCTAAGCCTTTGTCTGCCCTGGCTGACTGTACCAACCAATGTCAATCCACATAAATCAAAGCCGCAAAAAAGTCAACAATGTCTGATCCGAATCTTATCTGCAGGCGCTGCGACATGTTTACAGTCGATTTTCCCATTTTTTGATTCCCATTGCAAATGCCTAAAATGGGGTGTATTGATATTGTACGATTTCCACAGCATCGGTAAATATCGATTTTGAAATATGGTTTTTCTTCTTCATCAGATGTGATATGTAGCCTAATGTAGAGTAGACACAGGTCCAGAATATTTGAAAATTGTAAGAGAAAACTCCATTTAAAGGATATATCCGTGTATCGGAGATCGGACTATGGAGACCGAAGTTCATTCGGAAAGCATTTCCCTTACAGACTGTAGAGCAAATGAAAAGAAGAAGACATCTCCTAGTCATGCACTCTCGACTAGAGCACGACTGTGTTGTTTTTTTTTTTTTTTGTGTCTATCTTGTTTTTAATAAATTTCGGGGTCCAGGAACAAGCTTCAGTTCCACTTCCCCGCCGACCTTTCGTTCAACGAATACGTAACCGTAATAAATCTCGATGTCTTTTTAACAAAAATGTAAAATGTTAGACATAAAATGAAAGCCATGTTATGAACGCGTCTTACGATTTAACAGTTTACAGTCGCAGTATTCCAATTCCAATTCCCAATCCCAATCCAAGTCTTAACTGTCTTCCTCTGGCCCTTAACTGTCTGCCTATCGCATTGTTTCAAGAGCTCTGGTTGCCGATTGAGCTGAATAGCTGATTGTGTTTAATGCTAATCGGATTGATAAGCATTGATGCATTTACTTCGATTGTAAACTTTGATGCCCTCTGTTTGGTCGGGTGTCATTGTTAACTTGTTGAATCAATCGCGCTTGATTGGCAACTAATTGTTGGACTGAATGCTCCGAGCTGTTCTATTGATAGGAACATTGATATGGATTCATTTCTGCAAATGCAATGGTTCATAATTGACGTGCATTGATTGAGAGGCGCTGTTGTTGATTATGCATATTGTAGCTTACATGTCAAATCGACACATGATTGATCTTATTGTCTTATTGTTGTATCACATTGCATTTAATTTGCTTAATTGCAAATTGAAATGACTGAGTTAAAAACGTGGTGCTTTGCTAGTGAATGATTGACGATTGAGGTCAAATTGGGCGATTGATGCTTCACAGTGACTTGCCTGTGGCATGATTGTTGGCTCTGTACTTGAAAGCAGCTAAAAATTGACTGATGGCTATGCGATTGATTGTTGGTTGATTGCTAACTTTAGATGCGTTTATTGATTGATGGCATTGTGATAGCTAATACTGCTAATGATTGATCTAAAAAGATGACAACTTTTTGGTAATCATTAATGTTGTTATTGATGCGATTGACTGATGATTGATTGTGATCATAAGATGCGTATATTGATTGATGGCATAGAAGTAATTATTATTGCTAATGATTGTTGACGATTGATAAATATAAATATAAATATAAACTCCATCTATTTATATAAGCTCGTTATTGATTGATGATTGATGAAAACTTTATTGTTATCATTAATGTTGTTATTGTTGCGATTGATTGGTGATTGATTGCCAACTTTAGATGCGTATATTGATTGATGGCATTATGATAGTTTATACTGCTAATGATTGTTGTTGATTGATCTAAAAAGAGCGCTAAGCAACCCATCTATTAATATAAACTCGTTATTGATTGATGATTGACGAAAAATTTATTGTAATCATTAATGTTGTTATTGTTGCGATTGATTGATGATTGATTGCTAACTTAAGATGCGTATATTGATTGATAGCATTGTGATAGTTTATATTGCCAATGATTGTTAATGATTGATGTAAAAAGAGCGCTAAGCAACTAAGCAATATAGACATGTTATTGATTGATGAAAACTTTATTGTAATCATTAATGTTGTTAATGATTGCCGATGATTAACCTAAACGAGCACTAAGCAACACAAATTAGCCAGAAGCGCATTCTTTTTCCTCTCTATGCAATTAAATTGATACTTGATTGATTAATGACATCAATCAAATGCGCACAATTAATAATTAAGCGGCTTTATACGCAATTGGCCGGCTTATGTGTAATTAAGGTTCAATTGCGCCCTAATTAAACTTGCCGCAACAGTTTATGAACTTCCCAGAAAAAGACACTCGCACGCACACGTGCACCCATACACACACACACACACACACACAGAGAGAGAGAGAGACATACACATGCATATGTATGAGCACATGACTACATAAACTCTAAAAGCTGCTGCTCTGCTGCGCATCCTTGGATATACCGCGCCTTGGGGCTTTCTTTAATTGAAGCAAATTGCATATTTGTGTGTGTGTGTGTGTGTGTGTGTGTGGGAGGGGGGGGGCGTGTCTGGTGTGTGTGTGTGTGCTACAATATTCATTCAATTCGGCAATATTTAGGCATAATTAAGACATCTTCCTGACTTGTGCTGTGTGTGCGTGTGTGTGTTCGTTTATCTGCGTGTTTATGTACTGAGTGTTGTGTAATACCAAAAGGAGACAAACTTAAGCGTTGACCATCTAAATTAATATCAACTTAAATCTAATCATTTGCAAACGCTTTTTCCCCACAGGCGACGACAACAGCAGCAGCAGCAGCAGCAGCAGCAGCAACAACAAGGAGCAGCAGCAACTCGTAACTAAAGTGACATGAGGCCTTAACAACAATTAAAACAACAGCAACAAGAAGAAGCAGACGCAACTGTGGAGCACTAAAAACCCAAATTGCAAGCAATTAAAAAGAACAACAACAACAACAACAACAACAGCCAGAAGGCGCTCGAACCCCGCCAAGAAAAAAGGGCAACATACGAGGCACGCCCACGCACGCAACAACAGCAACAACAGCAACAACAACAACAGCAACAACAGCAACAACAGCAACAGCAACAACAGCAACAACATTAAAAACAACAACAGCAACAACAACAACAACAGAAACAACAACAACATTAACAACAAGCTAACAATGCCGGCAACATTTATGGCCAACTAAAAACTGAACAACGTCGCCGCATTCAGGCCCGGCCCAACACAAAACAGCGGACCCACCCCCCCCCACCCCTCCCCCCCTCGGTGCTGCCTCTACCCGAACGCTGCAGCTACGACTTTTGGGGCACAACAAAGCACAAAGCGGCTTTTACTAACAACAACAAAAAAAAAACCAAATAGCGCATTGTTTTGCTTATTGTCAGTGTGAAAATTGTTGTTGTTGTTGTTGTTGGCGCCTTTGGGCACTCAATTAAGCCCAATTCCAGGCAGCCAAACGCAGCACACACTCACACACCACACACACACACACACACACACACACACAGGACACCAGCGGTGTCTGTTGGTGTCTGCTGGCGGTCGTCTGGCGGGGGCGTCTCCGCTCCGGTCTTGTCTTGTGGCCCGGCGATTGAGTTGATGTAACAATGAAACTGAGCGTCAGCGCGTATCGGGCGCATGCATCCGCACACAAGAAGATCCTCTCCAGCGGCTATCACTCGCAGCTCAATTACGGCAGCACTGGCGCCGCCGCCGCCGCGTCCTCCTCCTCATCGTCGGCAGCAGCGGCGGCCACTGCAACGGGCCTATATACGGTAAGTCAACCAGACCATAGTCGACAGTCCCGTTCGAAAAACAAAATCATAAAAGAAAGCCAAATTAGTTCGGGAGCACAAAACACGAAGTGTTCGCCAGTTGGCCTTGCTCGACTAGCAGATACCCTCTAAGCAGAGCCGAGTTGCAAACATTCCAAACTTTCTTCCCTTTGCCCGATACTCGGAATGGGAAATGCATTCTCGATTTACTTCGGCTCCTAGAGTCCGATCTTTATGCAATTTTGGCACACAAAGGATCTCTCTCTCTCTCTCTCTCTCTCTCTCTCTCTCTCTCTCTCTCTCTCTCTCTCTCTCTCTCTCTCTCTAAAGTAAAATTTGCTTAGCCTGTGCGTACAGCACGAAAGTCCACCTAGCAAGTTTTGTGGTCTTCCTGTCTCAAAATCGATATTTATCGATATTAGCAAAATTTTAGCATATATTTAGCTTTTATTTAACATTTGCTCTAAATCATAATACCCTTTTTACAAACATTCAACATTATGCCAGCCAATGCGAGCGACAACTAGTGTGAAGTAGCCGACGTTAGATACCCTGTACAAACAACCGTAACATGTGCATCCATGTGCTTCTTCTTGCCTGCCTGGATCATTTCCATGTTGAATATTCGAAAGTTTTGAAAATGTTTCGATCTAGAAGCTGGCATTCATGTCGAAGGTGAAAGTAGGTATCGATCATCTGAAGGATTCTTGATCTTTAATATCTCTAGCGATTTGCTGAGAAAGCCAAGATTTTAAATCGATAATTGTCGATTTTCAATGAATGAACCATGCTATTAAGCTCCCATACTAGTTGAGCTCGAGACAGACGAGCAGTAGACATGGCTGGACCGACTCCGCTCTCCTGTCCCGATCTGGAATCTATATATATATATATGCATATTATTTACTTTTGGGCTCACAGATGGGCCCAGCAAGCCCTTTTCAATTGGTACGTGGTAGCATTAAAACGAAAGCATACAAATTTTTGTGGTCCATAATTTTATTTTATGTACATTTTTTTGTTGGCTTGTCATTGAGTCACAGGAAAGGATGAAGTCGTCTGGAGGGGGGGGTTTGTGTGTGTGTGTGTGTGTGTGTGTGTGTGTGTGTGTGTGTGTGTGTGTGTGTGTGTCGTTTCTCCTTTTATAGATCTGTTGTGCAGGGCAGCAGTTGCGCTAGGCAACGCTCGTCTTCGACCTCATTTGCGATATTTATGTAACTCAAGCGGCGTGAAGCGAGAAGCGAAGCGTTACAAGTTTTCATTTCATATTAGTGCAAAACTGTCAGCGGGCTGGCTGAGTTAAATATTTGCATATTTTCTGCCTATTCAAAAAACAAAATTGTTTATCGATTCGCTGGAAATGTGAGGTTTGTGGTGCTTCTTGTTTACCTTCAGTTCGCGCTTCTGGCCTTTTTTTATCTATTGTCATTTCTGGTTTCATTTTGATTTCATTTGCCGATTGGCTTTTGAGTTCGCTTTCGCTTTAAATTTTCTCGATTTAAGTTTGCCATCTCGGTGCACAAATCAATTTGCTTCTCTCTTGTCGTTTCTTGTCTTTGTTTTCGGCTCGATTTCTCTCTTCACTGCTGGCTTCTTCATTTGCTTCTTTTTTTTACTTATCACTTGACTCCTGCTTTTCAGCTTGTTTTGAGCCTTGCTGTTTACTTTCTGTCCGCTTCTCGCTTCACTTTCTTTCTCGATTGCATTGCCTTCAAATGCTTCTTTCTTCGCCTTAATTTAACTTCTTCACTTATTAGGTCGCTTCTCTCTCTCTCTCTCTCTCTCTCTGTTCTGCTCGCATCTCCGTTACATTGTTCTCCTAGTTCTTCGCTTTTCTGTTAATTCTACAAAATGTTTCGTTTCTCACTGCATTTCTAGCTTTACTTACCGCTTTTAACTTCCCATTTCGCTTCTTGGTTCGCCTCTTAGTTTCTTTTTTGAGCTTTTCATCTTCTTTGTTGCACACTTTGCTGCTCGATTTACTTCTCGTTAAGCTTCTCTCTTGTCATCTTTATTCATTTCTCGTTTCCCAGCCTTGCCCACAACATGTTGAGTTGACAATTATCACAAGACGTATATATTTTTACTCACTATGCTTCTCGCTTCAGTTGTCAGCTTATCTCCCCTTGCCTCTGACTTTTTAGGGCATTTGCTATTCGTGGCATAAATGTTTATTGGTCTCGATTGAACATCACATTGTATGGCAATTGGGTCGAGTTGCGTTCAATAAAAATATCCCCGAATCGCTGACATGCAGCAATGCAAAAGTTGTTTGCCATCAAACTCTGAGGCGAGTTGAACATTTTTTTAGGTTTATGCGGCAGGCTATTGACGGATATTGCTCGTAATCTGGGTATGCATAGACGACAGTCCGATTTAACAGCGTCTAATTAAATCAATTTCAACTTCAAGCCAGAGGGAGTGCAAGAGAGTGTGTGTGTGTGAGAGAGAGGGAGAGGGAGATACAGTTTACTTTTCAAACACTCCAAACTTAAGCCCATAAATATTTATGGAATTGACACTGTGCGCAGTTTACAGCTGCCCAAAAGCCAAAAAAGCCACAACGAATTTCAATCAACTTCTGCGGCACATTTAATTGCCATGTCCCAAACTTCCCGACGCACAGGCTCCAAGCCCAGGCCCGACCCTCGCAGAGCGGAGCTTTGCGCTGCCAGCTAATTCGCTCCGACAGGGCAAGGCAAGCCCAATCCCAATGGTGGACATCTTACATGCGGCTGTGCCTCCATTAAAGCGCACACAATTCACAAAATGTTCGCTGCATTTCATTATCTTGGCTTGGCAATTAAGCACCACAATTCTGCCACTTCTCATTCTCTTGGACTTAAACCACACCGAAACTTTATCAAACGGCCTGGCGGAATATTTTGATAAATGTGTTTGTTATTGTTTCCGATTAATTAAGAGCTTTTGCGAAACGTGTGGAATTCAACTCGCAATTACTCCATCTGCCGCTTCACCATCTACATTTGGTTTAAACCAACTTTGGATGGGTTTTCATTCCAGAGGAGAGATAGAGAGAGAGAGAGCGAGAGAGAGAGTCTTTTATGGAATATGCCAAATCGGAAACTTGTTCATAGATTTCTCCCTTCTCTGGTTTGCAAATTGTTTCTGTTTCAGATTCCGTGGGTTATGATTGGCATTGAAATCAGATTATAATGTTTAGCTTAGTTAAATGAACTAAAAAAAAAGGGGTAAAAAGGTTATTATGTATTTGTGCAAGTCGATCTAGCCATGTCCGTCCGTCCGTCCGTCCGTCCGTCCGTCTGTCCGTATGTGTGAACGCAAGGATCTCAGAACCTATAAGAGCTAGAGACTTGAAATCTTAGCTGTAGGTCCTGCTGTGCCCGCGCAGATCGAGTTTGTTTCCGATATTCGATAACTTGCCCCGTTTCCAAGGCATCGATAAAAATCGATATCGAAATCCTGTTTCTAGAGCAATTTCGGGAAATAATAAGAGCTAGAGTCACCAAACTTGACATGTAGCTTCTAGAATAGTATATATATATCAAGTATCTTTCATTTTATACCTTGGAAGAAGAGGGTTCAGGGTATCCACTGGTCGGGAGCTCCCGACTAGAACCTCTTACTTATTCTAATTCGATCCTTCGATCGAATATATATATATATATATATCTAGCTTTTGAGGATGTGGTCTCTCGTATGCGATTTGGAACAGGTGGAAACGAAATCTCCTTTTTTATTTGCCACTATTTTGCGATATGTTGTGTAAGCTGTAAGCACATTATTGCGCCAAGTGAATGAAGACTTGTCAAGGAATACATGGAATTGAATCTTTCTCTTTGAATCAGTTAATTCTTTAAATTTTGCTGTAAATGTCGTGGAACGTGTGGGAAACGAAATCACTTGCGCTTTCGCAATTCCCATTCCAAAAATACTTGAGAAAAGGGGTTCATTAATATTTCATTTGATTGCTATTCGGCTTTCGCCCTTTAGTTTCGATTTTCATTATATGTACTATAATATATTTGCACAAATTCTTGAACTCGTTTCACTTTCCCAAAAAAAACAAGTTGAAAGTTCTGCAATGACATTTCCTTGGCTATATCCAACGGCAACGGTTGAACAACCAACAACTTGAAGCAGACACAAAATAAGTTTACAGCTGCCCACCTGGCACCCCACACCCCCCCCTTAGCCCTCCTCTCAGCCCTTCACTTTCCACAACCCGGGCAGGCTGTCCCCGCGCACTGCGATTGCCCTGGACCCGGCGTGTTTTCATCTCGATTCTCGGCTCGTTATTTGATGTTGAAGTTTTAATACTTTCGCCTGTGCTTTGCCAGAAGTAATCAAAAATTTAATTTTAATTATGCGCCAATGTCAGCACGGTGGGAGGGGGGGGGGGGGAGGGGGGCGTGGCCCTGCCAATAATGGGCGTGGAAGCCGTGGCGCCGGGCGCCTTAAATATGATTATTTAATGTGCGAATAGTTAACGCATTGCCCTAACAAGCCGTCGAGGAGTTGAATTGCTGGCAAAATACTCTGTCTAATACATTTCGTGTTTTCTCTTCTTCTACTTCTTCTTCTTCTTCTGCGTACGGTACAGATGGAAACGCATGCAAAGGATATGGCCAGGCTCGACTGCAACAGCGACACGGACGTCATCAGCCCAACGGGCACCAGCAGCTCCGGCGGAGGAGGCGGCGGCGCCAGCAATGCGCCAGCGGATGGCGGCCATCACAAGCGACACCACAAAAGCGGCAGCGCCTCGGCAGCGGCTGCGGCGGCGGCAGCGGCTGCCGCATTGGCCAACGATGATGACAATAACAGTGCGGCGCATTCATCGGACAGCAAGAGTCCCAGTCAGCGGTAAGTTTCTGCCACACAGCACACACAGCACATCCATAACACACACACACACACACACACACACACACACACACACACACACACACACACACACACACACACTCACCCACACAGTCATACATTTGTGTACAAATTGTAACTTTTGTAAAGTGACAAGTTAAAAGCTTAACAAATAACTACAACAATCAAAATAAAAACCTGAAAGCAAAAACTAAATCTAAAACTAAAACTAAAACTTTCATATGACGCACTCGAAATACCCTTGCAATGCCAAGATTTTCGTCTCTATTAATCAGCAAGAAGCTGTCGCATTTTCACTTTCAAAATCAGCTTACTTATCGTATACATAATAAGCTTAACTTCTAAATATTCCATAAAAGTTTTCTTTTATTAAATCTATGTAAAGCGGACAACAGCCTAGAAAAGCGCAATAGTTCCCATATTCAATCTTTAATTAAAGATTAATTTCAAGTAGTAAATAATATTTTAAAGATTTTCAAAGCCTTAAAATATATATATTTTTTATATAATGGCAGTTCTTGAGTTATTTGACAGCAAAAATCTTTACAATCGAATGCTGATCGATTTGTTCCAATCGATTAATTCGTCTTCAATATAAATTCTTCAGTTAAAACTAACTCAAAAGATATTTGATGCGATTCTAAGGAAAACTTCTTTAGTTAATTCGACATGCTTAGCTTTTTTAAGGGCAAACAGCTATTTAAGGTTAGGTACGCCTGGAAATGGACAGTTCTATAGAGGAACAAATGGCATGAAACATGTTTGTGTTCAACTAGTTCACAATATACCAAGCCCCATAAGAGCGGGGCTATTTGCGAGAGTAGGGCATTAAATGTATTAAATATATATATATATATATATATATAACTCACATGATAAACCATAATTGAAATGCGCCCTTAATGTACAGTACACACTCACACATGGCGAATAGCCAAATAAAATAACCTGCCTGTTAAGGCTCGAGCAGTGCATACAATCATTCACACTTCATACATACACACACACACACACACACACACTCTCTCATATACACTCTCACACAGTAAGCGCATAATTGATTGCTAACAGTAAAAAATAAAATAAGCAAGCCGAAAGCGAAAAAAATAAAACCGTAGCATACTTTGTTGGGCTTCGCAGCTGCTTCTGATTTATAATTTTTATTGATGCCGCGTATTGACATATTGACATATTGCCCCATACATGTACTCGTAACCGTATTTGTATTCGTGCTACTATTTGTATACACACACACACACACCCATACACACACACAAACCATTTTTTAAGTTTTCTTTTCCATTTTCATTCTTATTTTTTTTGCCACGCATTTAACTGGTATTTGTCATCACAAATCAAAAAATAATGAAAAAAAAAAGAAAATATATACTATATGCTTTATAAACAATGGGGCAAAAGGGCGGGCAATCAGAACTGAATAGATCTGTTATCGCTTGGTTAATTCAACAGCAATTAGCGCCAATTAAATTGCCATTGTTATGCTGCGGACTTTGAGTGTGTGGTTGTCGGGGTGAGGGGATGCGGTGTGCGGGGTGCCGGGGTGCCGGGGCGGGATAGCTGTGGGGGTCCTGCTAATGGCAAATTAAACAAGTCGCAGCGTGTCATGACTGTGATGTTTTAATTATGGAGTTAAGAGTGCATGAATTAGCCGGATTACGTGTGAAAATAAACTGGAAGCTCTGTCTATCTGCGAGGTAACTGCGATTCGAAGATTCGTTTATATAGCTGACATTTAAGATAATGCATTTATTATCGGCATAATGCGGCAGTCATCAGGTGTTAAAATACCGTCAGGCCTTGATCCATTTTAGTTCGTTGTGCTTAATTATGAAATATAAATGTAGATATGCAGACAGGTTTGCGCTGTAATTGTCCTCAAGCGAATCAAAAATAGCTTAAAATATATATATGTATATATATATTTATGCTGTTAGCTCTGGCCAAAATCAGTTGTAGTCTTTGTTGGCCGCCTGGTCTGCTAATAAGAGATAAAGCGGTTTCCACATCAATGAAAACTCAGTCATTCATTCATTTATTGAGGAAACTGCCGTCAGAGTCAGCCCTCTCAGCCGCATAAGGGTATGCGTATTTGAAAGTGGTTCGACTTCGACAAACTTAACAATTTTTACAAATATAAGCATTTATTAACATTATTGAAAAGGCACAGGGAATCAGTCTGTATCGGAAAGATAGCCCCAATTTAATAAACAATAAGGTAAAGGACAAGGAATATTGGATGAAAACTAAAAGGAATCCACAATCTAAGCAAAATTAAAAGGGAGAAGAATATTAGTGAAATCAATAAACACATAATAATAATAATGATAATAAAATTATCAATTTAAATAAAAATATTAATCGTAATAATAATAATAATACTATCAATAATACTGATAATAATACTTATAATAATACTAATACAAATACTAATAATAGCAATGATAATAATACTTATAATAATACTAATACAAATACTAATAATGACAATAATAATAATCAAAATACAAATAAATATAATACTTATAATCATAATTATATTAATAATAATACTAATACTAACACTTATAATAATACTGATACTAATAACAATAATACTAATACTAATACTAATAATAATAATAATAATAATAATAATAATAATAATAATAATAATAATAATAATAATAATAATAATAATAATAATAATAATAATAATAATAATAATAATAATAATAATAATACTAATATTAATTTTATTAGGAATTATAATAATACTAATATTAATAATAATAATAATAATATTACTAGTTACTAGCTAGGGTTGGGGCAGGGCTACAGTTACAGTTATGCAACAATCGCAGATAGATATCTCCGCAATTTTTCGCCACACGTTCCTATAACGGTAACAGTAACCGTATATAGTGTGTGCACGGAGAGAGCTCTCTCTCTGATTTGTGGTGGACATAAAGGAAATTAACTAATAAAGATAATTAGCTGGAACTGTGTGTGCGCGCTTGGGTATGTGTGTGGGTGTGTGTGTGGGTGTGTATGCGTGTGTAGAGTTTTGTTTAGTTTGTTCAGTGATTTTATGTATTAACCTCGGGACCCTGGAGACCCATTTGCCAGTTACGATTAGTTGGTTGACAACTCCGGCTCTTAGTCTGTCCCTCTCTCTAGCTACCTCCCTCCCCCGCCCCCCTCCCTTCCTGTCACTATCTGTCACCCTCGCGAAGACTGGTTTTCTTTTTGGCGGCAATTGCGGCCAGCTTTACGTGGTATCCACTGCAAATCCGTGCCAATGCCAAGCGAAATGGGTTTTAGTTAAGTGAATTATGTCATGGCTGTTGGCCAAAACTTGTAAGCCAATTGTGCGTGTGTGCATGTGTGTATGTGGGCGGGCGGTTGATTGTGTGCGTGTGTCTGTGTGTGTGTATCGAACAGTTTTGGGTTATTGCCTGATTGGGCCATGGGATTGAAAATGTAAGTGGAATTGGTATTGGGATTGGATATTGGGCGTTGTTATTGCAGCGATACCGTGTACTCGCATGCACACAAATCCCCAAAACTACACACCTAAACAAACTGAATGTGAACAGCGAGAATTCGGCACACCGAAGCATGCATACCCTTGCAGACTGATTTTGCTGCGACACCCCAAATGTTTGCCTATACTGGACCCTCTGTTACGTAGCACAAGATAATTATTGCAGCCAGATTGATTTTCGAATATTAATTGTCATGCACAAAAAGAATAGAAAGGAATTAATGAATGTCCGTGCAGGCCATACTCATTGTCCATATACCCTGCAAATATGCTTGCCTTGAACTTATTTGTTTTAATTATAGAATATGCGTGGATGATAAAAAGTTTCATTGTTGAATAAATAAATTAATTAATTAATTTAAAAATGTAATTAAACTGAAATTGATTGTAAATACCAAAAAAAAAAAGAAGGTATCAATTATGCCTCAAGCTAGAAATATGAAGACTGTGAAGAAACTTAAGATATAAACTGGATCTCTATAACATTGAATATCTCTAATGTTGTATAGATTATTATTTTTATTCAAATATATATATATACATATATATATAATTAATAATAAAACAAAAAACTATTCCGAAATCCAAGGTATCTGCCTAACTTACAGAAATATAGAAAAATCTACTAGACCCTTCCATAGAGTTCCAAGCAGGAATCTGGGCATAGATATTCGATTTCAAGAGATCATAAGATCTGTGTGATGTATCAAGCAGTTTGTTGGATATTTTTAAAGAGAAACGAAAGTCTTGTACAATTTTTGGCCAAGTCAAAGACAGGCGAACACACTGCAAGGGTATGCATTGTACCACATAGAGACGTAAATGTAGCTTGTTATATTTGGCATATTCTGTTGGTATATAAGAATAACGTTAAATTTTACCCATTGGAAGATCGGGCAACTCATCGCTGACCAGTGGGCAGAGCAATTGCCGCTGCACAAATAGTTTAAGATTGTACACAGAGAGGGATAGACTTATATTAACGGCAGAGCAGCAGCAGCAGCAGCAGCAGCAGCAGCAACAGCAACAGCAGCAGCAGCAACAGGAACAGGAACAGCAGCGACAACATCCTCGACAGCGGCGACAGGTGCGCTTGCATCTGAATAGTCCCGCATCGGATGGCAGCTGGCATTCGCTGGCGGGACAGGGTGAGCCCGGTGGCAGTCGGGGCCTAATGAGCTCTGCCAGCTGCACGCAGGTGAAGACGCTCTCCTCGTTTATCAGCGAGCATCCCGAGGAGCTGGTTAGCAATCACAGCAACAGCAACAGCAGCAGCAACAGCAGCAGCAACAACAACAACAACGGCAACGGCAACAAAAATGGCGGCAATCAAAATCAGACAACAAAATGGAAGAGCCTGCGTGCCGTCATGGCATATTACTGTTCATTGCGGCGCATTAAGAGGAACGGTGCTTTTCAAGCTTTAACATACAGTACAAGAACCCAACTAACTAAGCTTAACTACAACTTTCAACTAAACTAACTAATCAAGCAACTATCTAACGTTATGATTGCTAATCGTACTATCTTGCATTGTGTGTTTGTGTCTGTGTGTGTGTGTGTGTGTAACCTCTCAATTCTCCCAAAAAAAAAAAAAAAAAAAAACGTACCGTACCGCAACCCAATCCAATAATCCGTGCTATTATATCAGCATCTCAAGAACTAACCAAACTCTGTCTCTCTCTCTCTCTCTATCTCTCACTTGCCCTCTACTAATCCGTAAGCAGTATAAACTAAAAGAAAAAAACAAAATATTAATAATCCGTTTTGTAGTCGGTGTATTCTGTACGTCTCTCTCTCACACACACATTCACTCACTCACATTCACTCTCTCCCCTCTCTCTCGCTGTCTCGCTCCATCAAGCATATGAATGTATGTATGTGTTACAGATATATCCACCGTTATTTATGCCAAACATAATGCTACCTAATTGTGATCGTGTCTATCAATTGATGTATTAACCGTTCTCCTCTCTCTGTGTCGCTCTCTCTGTTTGTTACGCTCTCATTCTTCCTTTACCACTCTCATATAACACTCGCTCGCTCGCTCGCTCATCAGCTAGCCTGACTGCTCTCTCATCATTCGCGCCACTTTACGGTATACTCGTTAAGTCTATGTATGTGGGCTACACAGGGTGATCGCGTGCACTGCCTGTATGTACGCTCTCTCTCTCTCTCTCTCTTTCTTCGCTCTCACTCTTATACAGCTCTAGACTTAACCACTCTTATACAACACATGATCAACTTACTCTTTTTAACAGTTACACTCTCAACTCGTTGGGCTTGCACAGGGTGTAGACATCTTTGATAAACATTTTTCGCTCTCTTCACAGGGTCTATCTCTCTTTCTCATATTTCTACATCACTTTTTCTTCGAGGCTCTTCTTATTCTGCGATGCATCTATTCGAAATTCACAGGGTGTCATTATTAGTCTTCCCAATGTTCTATCGTTTGCTCATTGGCTGGGCAAATCTAAGATTCGATTCTGTCCACATTCGTTTGTTGACTAAGTTAAGATAAATACTCGTTATGCAATTGCCAAGGTTATACATTGTGTGTGCACAGGGTGTGCACTTGCATTGTTTACATAAAGCTGGCTGTTTACAATATCTCTCTAGCACACTTCTATTTGATTCTCTCTCTCTCTCACTCTCTCTCTCTCTCCTTCCCTTGCTGCCCGTCTGTTAGTTTTTTGGGTTGAAACTTGAGCCAGTGGCTTAAGCTGACACAGGGTGTTTGCACAGGGTGCTCGCAATCATTGTTTATAAGTAGCTGTCGCTGTCTTCACAGCGACTACTTTTTGCCACTTGGGTTTTGTGCTAGTTTTTGGCAAAAAGTTTATCAAGCTGAGGCCAAAGTGCAACTGCACACACACACACACTAATACACACACTAATACACACACAAATACACACAAACAACACACAACTTTGACCAAAAAAAGAATGAAAAAATCTGAGCAAACAGCAAAAGTTAAAGTGGTTTTTGAGTGTGTGTGTGTGTGTGTGTGTGTGTAGAGAGAGAGAGAAAATCGATATGTTTAAGCTGCCTGCTGCATTGTAGGCGGACTTTTGACACAAATACATACACACACACACACACACACAGACACAGACACACAGTCACAGTTAGCTGCGCCTATGCATATGCTACAATACTTTGGCATTGTGCATGCCAAATGAGAAAATGCCTTCTGAATGACAACTTACAAAGAATTTGAATTTAGAAAATTGCAAATTTATGTTGAAACTAGCAAGCCGCACACTCACACACACACACACACACACACACAACAAGAACAACAACATGGCACACACACAGTTGAACTGTGAAACTGTCAAATGACCCAGAAATGTATGCTGCATTTATTTCCCGCCTCCGACTGCCTTTCTATAAACTTTGCCTAGACTGCCAAAAGAGCTGTGCGGCACATGCATATGCATTTGCCTCAGTCTCAGTTCCAGTCTCAGTCTCAGTCTCAGTCACAGTTCCAGTCTCAGTCGCAATCTCAGCCAGTGTTGCCAACTGTCGCTCAGAAATGTAGCTAAAAGTAGCTGTAATAGGAGCTACAATGCGCTTGGCAAAACGAATCCAATTTATTATTAAGCAATCCCTACGCTCGCCAACTAAGTTGAAAAACAGTCAGAAATGCAGGCAGCTGCCGATTTAAGTAGCCAAATTTAGCTAGAACATAGCTAAATTGGCAACTTTACTGCTCTCAGTCTCTGTCAGCATCTGCCAACACACACACACACACATACACACACACACACAGGCTTGGGCCTGGGTCACAAGTGTCTGCAGACAGTCGCAATCGAAATTCAGTTTTCGATCTGATTGCCGCAGTGCGATTGTGTTTTAATTCAGTGCCACTTGAGCTGCCTCTTGCACACACACACACACACACACACACATATGCAAATGCGCGCTGCCAGCCATTTGACATTTGTTGCATATGCGTCATTCGTGTCAAGAGAGACGCAGGGCGAGCACAGCCGAGACAAGTGTCTCTAAAGTCAGGCACATGTTTGATCACTTTCCGCCTGGCGCCATCTGTGTGCCGTTTTTGTCTATCAGCTATACACCCTGTACGCGGCAGCAGTGGCTGAATATATCGAATATATATATATGTTACTTATATATACATATATATTTATATACTTATATGGAAAACTAGCATTTACTCATTTATTTATATAATTTATATAAATTTGCTAACTTAAAAGTCAACAGGTGGCGCCACTCTTTAGAGCAACATATCTAATAATTAATAAACTTATCTAATTAGCGTAACAAAACTTTGAACTATGTTTCAATTTTACTCTAATTAATAGATCAATAGAGTTCAGAGTTCGTTTAGTACTGCCAAGGCTAAGTTAGATAAGTTCCACTCAATGAAATGTGAGAAGCAATACAAGAAGTTTATAGATAAAACATAGAGGCAAAAGCAAAGGAAGAAGCGATGCGAACATGCAAGAAGTGAATCGAGAAGAAAGTTAGCAGCAAAGCCATAACAAACAGCAGAAATTAAGCGGAAGAAGTCAGTGAGCAAACCAATAAGCAATAAAACAATTACGAGAACCGAAGTAAGAAGCGACGATGCGAAATAATGCGATATGACACGGCTAGCAACAAAGTTCCACGTTATTCTCTCATGCTCATAGCTTTATCCAAAAGAGATACTCACAGACACACATACAATACAGTTTTTTTTAAAGCGCTTCTCACTTCATTTACAGCGTTAAGAAATTTGATTACTTCTCTCCTCTTATATTTATCGATAACATTTTTTCTCGTGGCTGCTTCAAGTTGAAAAGCACTTTAACATTATGTCAAGCTCAGGTAAAAATAAGTCTAATTGCTTATCAAATTTGAAGAATCGGTAGGCGTTAAAGCGCAGTGCTGCCACCTTGCAAAACATTTACGTATGGCAGCTCTAGATAAGATAATTGAACCACAAATTGATTGTGTTTAAAGTTGAATAAGAAATAATTAATACTTGGCGTTGCCATACTTTGATGTATTTTTGTAATTGTGATAGTGTTGCCACCTCACAAAAATCACATATAGCTTGCATTAAAAGCTTTATATAAATAATTATTAGATAAATTATGTTTATTTTTGGCGTTGCCATACTTTAATACTTCTTTGTGGAAAACAGCTAGTCAACCGCTGCAGGGCAAAATTATGAAACCACAAATAGCTTACATTTAAATCTAAATATGAATTAACATAATTGTCGTTGCCGTACATTAACATTTCTTTGTTGTTGTGTCAGTGTTGCCAGCTTACAAAATGTTTGCACATAAAACAGCTCTAGACAGAATAAATAAGTCGAAACTTAATTGCATTTCAAGTTGAATAGGAATTAGCATAATTTTTTGGCGCTGCCATACTTTAACAATTATTTGCGTTTCTTTGAGGCAAAAAGGAAATTCAATTTAACTGATAGTCAAATAGCAAACACTGCCCATCGAGCTCATTTGTCTGGCTGTTGTTCTACGACTAGGAACAGCGCCAGCGCCTGCTGCTGGTTGGCGCTGTTGGTGTTGGCCTGGTCCTGGTCCTGGTCCTGGCCAATTAACATGGCCCCGGCGATGGCAGCTGGCCACAATGGCCGGCCAGAGTGACTGTCCAGTTGGCCGTTAGTGGAGAGTCAAGTGGCCTTTTGGCCAAAATCGTAGAGGCAGCGAGGAGGCCACGCAAAGCGTTGCTAAACATTTCCGTTGACCAAGCAACGCGCCTGTGTGTCTGTGTGTGTGTGTGTGTGTCAGTTTGTGTGTATGGGTAAATTTGTTTTTGGCCATGTCATGGCGTGACAGTTGCAAAGTGGCTGCCAATGGCCGGCCACATGTGGTGCAATCCGCTGGGAGAGCCATCTGCGGTGCCAAGGCGTTAATTGAAATCTGAAGTTGAGGCAACAGGCAACAGGCAAACCCAAAACCGACATCATCCAGCCATTAGGCAATTTGTGTGTGTCTGTATGTGTGTGTGTGTGTGTGTGTGTGTACCCCGATGATTTGTGGTGCAATAAAACGGCGCATTTAATAGCTGGAGCATCCACAAATGCTCAAAACTTTAGCTTCAGCCTCTGTGTGCAGGCCAGCCCCAAAAACTAACAAGCTCCATTTCAATTTATTATAAATCGAAAGTCCTGCACCATATGTGTGTGTGTGTGTGTGTGTGTGTGTGTTATCGTACAGCAAGCCTTTTTTACGCTTGATGCCACGCAGCCCGCATACATATGGGCACAAAAAAAAAATGAAAACAAAAGAACAGGCCAAAAGTCAAGTCAACGAGCTGACCGTTAAATAAATTGCCTGCCTCTCGTTTGCTCTCTCTCTCTCTCTCTCTCTCGCTCTCTCTCGCTCTCTTTCGCTGGCCTTCGGAACAAGGCAAGTGAAGGAAAATGCGTGAAAATGCTTCCCAGAGTCGTCATGTTGCAACAAAAATTTAACGAATACCCTTTAAAGACATTTGAATATCAAGAGTGCTCCAAAAGCCAGCTGCCCTCTATACACACACACACACACACACATACACACAGCAGCGCCCATGCTTCTTCTTTCCTACTTTGCCCACACTGTCTATAGAAGAAAGCATTCTTGATTAACTTCGCTTTTTAAAGTCCGATTTCAATGAAATCTTCACGGCTTCAATATGGCATACTAAAGTGTGTGTATACCAAAGCGCAAGGCTCTATCTACAAAATATTTTCTTTTTACAATTTTGTGGGGGTTAGGTATACAAAAAGGGAAATATACAAATTATGTATATATTATACGAGAATAATATCATAACTATAAATCAATACGCAAATCTAGGGAATATGTTCATATAGATATAGCTTGACATTCGCGCAAGAAATATATCTATTAACATATGTCTGTGTATCGAATGCAGGCTGACTGCTTTGGCCTGTCTCTCAGCAACTGTAATGGGACTCCGCAAGATTGGAATATATTGCCAGATCCTGATATGGTATATGTCCTGTCCAGCGTAATGCTAAAATTGTATGACGTGTGAAAAAAAAAGAAACAGAAACAAGCTCCAGCCCTTTGTCTCTGTCTTTCTCTCTTTCTGTGCAGCTGCAGCTGGCAGTGTTGAAAAACGTTTTATCTTGAACCGACTGCAACGTCCTTCAATTGAAGTACTCTAAACTATCTCTCAAGCTGTGTCCACATTTCTCTCTCTCTCTCTCTCTCTCTCTCTCTCTCTTTCTCCATTTTCTTCCTTACTCTTTCCACTAAACATTTTACTTATACTACTTAAAACGTCCTTGAACCACAATCAATTAATTAAACTAAACAACCACAACGACAAAAATAATACAAACAACAAAAAAATATACAAAAAAAATTCTGAAATGAAACCAAACAACAAATTTCACAACTCGTTTAGGAAATCGCGTATCGGAGATGGAGCCTCAGATCCAGATTCCGATTGGTAAGTCTCTTGCGTTCGTTATCAACCTTTGGTTGACTCTCACGCTCTGCACAACAACAACAGCAACAAAAACACACACACACACTAACACACACACACACACACACACACACACGCGCACACTAGAAGACACAAATAGAGACACGAATTTAGCTACGCTTTTCTGATTATGTTGCGAAAAGTTCATTTGGATAATGATAATTAATATTGATAGTATTGATATTGAGTATGATGATGATTGATCATGATTGATGATGACTGAGCTGCATCTAATTGGCATGCGAAGCGCTTACTTTTTTTGAATTGCGTTGGGCCACAAGAAAGCAACCGAAAACAATTTTAAACAAACCACAATTTTTCTTCTGTTCAAATGGGTTGACAAGCGAGCCAAACCCAAATCACAATCACACACACACACACACACACACACACACACACACACACACACACACACACACCCACGGCCAACACTCACTTTTGGTAATCCAATAGTTCACAAAAAAAAAAACGAGTAGTTGCTATTTGCCAAATGCTTCTTAATGCAAGCACCAAAGCATTTGGCAATCACACACTTAATCACACACCCACACACACACACACACGCATATACCACACGTGTATAAAGGACATGCCACGCCTAGTTCTTGTTACTTCTTTCATTTTGTTTGGTTTGGTTTGGTTTGGTTTCCCTTACATTTAGCTAGCCGCATTGCAAGCTGCGCTCTGCTTTTGTACCACATGACGTATGCGTAATATTAGGTAGCAACAATCGAAAATACTAAAAATCATAAAAAATATCTACCCAAAAAAAATATAAAAATACTAAACTGCTGTATATAGCATCGAACAAATGCGATGGCAAATAAATTAAACTAAATCAAAAACAATTAAAAATGTAGTTTGGCATTCGAATTGTATAAAAAAAAAAAAACATACCGAAAAAAATTATATATATAAACTAAATCTGTGTGTGTGTGTGCAAATGCTATAAAATTCGCTTTGTATGTGTGTGCAACAAGCTAATTATGTATATAACCGAAAAAAAAAACAAAAAGCGTTAAAAACATACTAAATAAAATACTATACTTATATCGAAATACTTGTATATTTAAATACCATTTTAACACATATCGTATGTATATAATGCAGTTAATTCATTCTCGTAGCAAGGCAGTTTCAACGTAGACTTTTGTTGGCCGACTAGCGATTTGAGCAATACAAATATAAATACCAAAAAAATACCAAAAAAATACCAACAACAAAAAATACCTCCCCAGCAAGAACAACAAGTACATGAAAACAGAAATTCTTAAGATGCTTATCCAGTGTCCAGCTCCCCAAAAATTTCCCAAATGCCAGCTCCGCATTCCCAGCATAAACCATTAGCACTTGTTGTAGTCGCACACCAAATACCCTGTACCAGCTTAATAATAATAGATTCGAGTAAAGCCCGTCCGGCCTTCTATCGAAATCTTCACTTATTTATTTAAATACTTTGTAAATATTACTTGAAGAGTCCAAGAAAATCGGAGACTTTGAGAGCTAGACTCAACCAATTTTCAAAGCTCTATCCCAAATCTAAATTCAAAGTTTAAGGCAGCAAATTTGGCATAAAGCGCAGCTGAAATAATATATAATTTACAAAATCAAGCCAAACTCTGGTCGAATATGCTTATTTAAGCCCACAAATATTCGATCTGTTAAAAAACCTGGTACAGCGTATCCGCTAGTCGTGCTTGCTCGACTGTTGCACTCTGCTCTTGCATTGATGTCTTTTCAGTATTTTTCTTTGTTTTCTGTACTTTTGTTCGGTTTTTGTTGTTTCGCAGAGCTTTTAGCATGTTCTGGACAAATTATTTTCTGTCTGCCTTTCCAGACATTGGCCTCATTTTTTTATAGCCCAAAATATTCCAGATTTTAAGGAAATTCTTCTCTCTGGCCGAGTCATGAAAATTCAACTTAAATGGAAACTACTGCGTTACCCCAACTGGCTTTTATTCAATTTTTTTTTTTTTTTTTTGTTTGTTCTTTTCTTAACTGTTTAATTTAACATCCTCGTGCTTTTCATTTCTCTGAATTTTCCCAGAATTCCTCGAATTGTTTCCCCAATTCTGTTTCGCTCTGCATGTTGTGCCTAATGTAAATGCTTTCAACCTTCTTAAGATCTATCATTCTATGTGTCTATGCTTAAACAAACTATGCTTAAATCGTAAAATACTAAAGTGAAGTTAAAATAAATACTTTGCCATTTTTGCATGCCTGCTTGCCGTTAGAGCCGTTAAAACGTAGATGGGAGACGTCAAGGAAGCCGGAGACGGAGACACGCAGCTGGCTGGCGGTGCCACGCCCACAACCCATTGGCTCTTTATAGCCCAGCCCCACCTCCACCTCCAGCACCCAACTCCAACTGCAACTCCAACTCCAGCCACGTCAAACATTACCCAGTCAGCTGTCAGTTGTCTCCGTTCAGGATGGCTCCTGTTAGCCCGCCCCCAACATAATACCAGCACCTGACCACATCTACATCTGTTTTAGTGCGTGCTTTTCTATGTGTGTGTCTGTAACCGTTAAGCGTTAACCGTTAACCGTTAACCGTTGCCCGTTAGACGTTGCCCGTTAGACGTTAGCGTTGCCATATCGTTGCGTGCCATGTTTGAGTGCGTTAACGTTACGGCTTTTGGGTTTACCGTTAAATGAATGTTTATTGCTCCTACCACGCATTGCGTAAGTGTTTCCGTGTGTTGCGTAAGTTATGACCTTATTGCAAATAGAGCACCCTAGTTGTAGTGCCAGAGATGTAATCCTAGCAAACTAAAAAGCCAAACCTAACCTCAAACGTAAAACGCACGCTTTTGCATTTACCCCTCAGCTCTGTTGCATTTTACTCTCGACTCTACCTATCTTTCTCTCTCTCTCTCTCTCGTTTTCTTTCTATACCTCTATACCTGTATCGATCTAACCGATAACTAATCCCAGATCCTGTAGTTGCTTGATATTTTGAGTTTTAACCCAGCTGTAGCATTTAGTTGTAGTTTAGTTTACGCAGAGTTGTTCGATTTATCGAAGACTTGTGATCTTTGAACGTGTGTGTTTTGTGGCATATCCTCGTACAGGACACGCTCGAACCAACGCTGGATGAAACTGCGCACCACCGTACAAATCTCATCGGCCATACAGAAGAAACCACCGCTCAAGCGCGAAGACTCATTCCTGAAGCGTTTCTCAACTAGACAGATACCCGAAACACAGGTGAGCATCATCTCATATAGAACTCCGGAAAATGGCTAAAAAACTGGGTGGAATCGTATAGTTTGCATTTTATTGTTGTTTTCTCATACTTTCTTTACACGATTTTAAGCCGTATGTCACAATACGCGCGCAAATCCACTCCTCCGGGTGGAAAATGAGCGAAATTTTAATTGACTTTGTGAAATTCACCTTTGCGGGTGACAAAAACAACGTTTATAGTAAAACGTCGGCTTGGCTCATTTCATATTATCGTCATTTCGTTCGCAATTTCAGGAAACTGTTGAAGACACGGGTTCAGAAAGTGCCTCTGGTGACGTCGACAAAACGGTTAAGCGTAGACGACGCTATCTGCAGAAACGACGCTCCGTTGTTAATCCAGATGAAAATTTTTACTTCTATTGGTTAATGATGGTAACTATATGTGTTCTCTATAATCTATGGACCCTAATTGTGAGGCAGAGCTTTCCTGAACTGCAGGTAAGTTACAAAAACTGACTCGCCAGCCCATTAATGTCAAATATCCTTTGTCTGTCGACTTTTCTTTATTTTTTCCAATGCCCCCGCCCAGCCTCTGTCCCTGCCTCGGTCCCAGTCTGTGTGCCTGCTTTAGGAAAGAAAACACCTTTTGTCATAATGCTTCAAGTTGTGTAAGATGAGTTGACTTGCTGCCTAATAATAATGCCCAACGGCCATAAAATTTCCTCAAACAATGAAGTTTATTAGGCATTTCAGCAAAAGAGGATAAAAGGCAACTCCGACGAGTCCTTGGCTCCTTATAAAAGTGGGTTTAATAACTTGACTAGCTGAAGGCAAGGTAATACTGGCAAAACCAAAAAGAAAAGGTGGTCTCTGATTAGTCTTAAAACCTTTGCTGGGCTTTGATCATTTATTTAGCTAAGCCTTGGGCTGGACTTGTGTTTCGGTTTGCGCTGATATCCTATAAGTAAATATATTGCACTCCTTAAAGCACCTGCTTAGGCTATGTCCAAGTACAAATGAACAACAATTAATAAGTTAACGACCGGAACCAGATCTGGCGAAATTAAGCTATTGACAAGCTTTCAAGGTGCAACCCATTTAGATCTCACATTTAATGGAATCAATAATTGTAAGGAGATTTGTTTGCGGCTCTGAAAGGATTTTCGTGTGATAATTCCACCCGTAAGTGTGGAAGAAACGCGGAAAACGGTTGTCTACAAAATTTTTCTTACTTTCTTTCCTTCCGATCGGCTTTCGAATATTCATCCATGAGAAACATTTCACCTTTTTTCGCAAAATCCAGCCCAAAGGTTGTGTAAGGGAAAGTTGGATCTACGACCTACAAGATTTTTCAAGTCCAAAAAAAAACGTTGCCCGGGCAATAGCGGGGAATTAGTTGGAGATCCATTGATGACAATCGTTCGAGATAGTCTAGGATTTTTTTGGAATTTTTCGCAGGGTATACTCTAGTCTGAATTGCGGCGACTTATTATCAGGAATTGGTTTTTTATTTGTTTCTTTATGCATTTTTTTTTTTTGGCCAGCTCTTCGTAATGACTCAATTAAAAGACACGCCGGCAACTCAAGTTGTGGTCGCTGGGCCAAGTGGTCGCTGGGTCGCTGGGTTCGCAAGGGTCGAGGGGTCGCAGGGGTCGCAGGGCTCGATGGGTCGGTTGATTCTCTGGTTAGTTAGTTGGTTCGTTTTGTTCTTGGAGCTGTGCAAATGTTTGTTCACGGCCCAGTTAGCTGGTGTTTGTCATCAGATTAAAGTCTGCTAAGGGTTGCCAAAAATAAAAAGTAAATAAAAAAACAAAAAACCAAAAAAAAAATACAAAAAAGAGCGGCCAATGTGGGGCACGGCATGTGATACACTCGTCGTCGTTGACCTTTAAACCGTAATGTGTGGCACGGCTTGTTGTCGTCACCTCTTTTTTTTTTGTCAGCTTGCCATTTGTGGAGGTGGCCCCCTGCTCCAGCTGGGACTCATTTGCATTTGTGAAATGCATTGCTAAAACAAAAATTATTGTCCTTGACCTGAGCTTTGTTTGATGCACAGCCGTGAGCACTAATTGAAAATCTCAACTAATTTTTCTAAATTATTCCATTTTGTTTTTTTTTTTTGTTTTCGGGTACTTTTGCAATTTGGCTGACAGCAATCTGTGCCTACCTTTTGGCTCATCTGCGATTCAATGACAGATGTTGTATTTATCTTAGATATAATAGTTCAATTACGCACAGGCTATCTGGAGCAGGGCCTAATGGTGAGTACACATCGAGCACATCGAGAATCTCAGACAATATACTTACCATACCGAAGACAATTAACCCGACACATTTATGTTGTAGGTATACGACGACAGGAAGCTGGCCTGTCACTATGTGCACTCGCGTGAGTTCATCTTTGATATGATAGCGCTGATACCATTGGATCTGCTCCAGCTGAAGATGGGCACACATCCGCTTTTGCGTTTTACGCGCTTTTTTAAAGTGAGTACCGGACGAGTGCAACGGCAAACGGATAATCTTTAATCGTCACATCTTTCAGGTATATCGATCTGTGAGATTTTATTACATCGTAGAGAGTAGAACAGTTTGGCCAAATTTATGGCGCGTTGTTAATCTAATTCATATCCTGTTAATATTGGCCCATTGGTTCGGTTGTTTCTATTTTTTACTCTCCGAAGCGGAGGGCTTTCAGGTAAGCCTCTTCTACATATACTTATACATATACTTATGTATATATGTTATATATATTTATGTATTTGCGTTTCCCTTAGGGTGATTGGGTCTATCCCTATAGACCGGGTGACTATGCGACGCTGACGCGCAAATATCTGGGCAGCCTTTATTGGTCCACCCTAACGCTGACCACAATTGGCGATCTGCCGACGCCGGAGACGAATGCAGAGTGAGTATGAGACGATGGCTAGTGGCCTTTTTAGGATCAGAGCTAAATCCTTGACATCTCTGGTGGGGCGGGTTGTCTTCGTTTTCATTGCATACCAAAAACAAAAACAAAACAGACCGAACTTTTCGGTGGACGGCCCCCGATCAATACCAAGGCGTGGCATCAAATCACGACTGCTACAGTTTGGCTCCAGCTATGGGTATGATATGATCCAAACAACATTATCGCAAACGTATCTAAACATAGTGTGCTTCAAATATCATATGCTATCTGTTGGGGGCTGTCCACCAGTTCGTTTCGTGTTTCGTGTTTCGTGTGTTTTGCCAAACAAAAAACAAAAAAAAAGAGAAACAAAAGAAACAAAGATTCTCTTTTGGGGATGACAACTGTTGCATATCATCATGATCAAAAGCCTTGGCTAAAAGACTTTCAGAAAAAAATAACATGATATCGATTGATTTATTATCAAAGTTTTCGAAAGCGTGCGACAGCCTTCAACAATTCCAATGATATTTCAACGCTCACCATTGCCAAAGTCAATTTCAATTTGTTTCCGAACTTTAACTTAAAAACTAAAAAAAATAAAAATTGAAAATGTGCTTTCGAAAACTTTGACTTTGTGCTTTTGCATGCGAGCAGAGTCTTGACAGCAAACACGAGAGAGAGCGAAGAGAGAGTGAGACGGAGGAACAGTAAGAGTTAGAGAGAGACAGAAAGAGAGAGAGAGAGAAGAGGGAGAGAGACAGAGAGAGAGAGAGAGAGAGACAGAGAGAGTGAGGGAGAGAGACAGAGAGAGAGACAGAGAGAGAGAGAGAGTTAGAGAGACTAAAGGACAGTTAGGGAGAGTTAGAGAGAAAGAGGGTTAAAGATAGTTACAGAGAGTTAGAGAGAGAGTTAAAGAGAGAGAGTTAGAGTTAGAGTTAGAGAGAGAGAGAGAGAGGGAGAGAGAAGGAGGATGAGAGTGCAACCGGAAGGGCATGGCTACATATAAAAATTCTTGTTATCGCAGTGTTTCCCGGAACCAAATCGGGTAGATAGGCTTCTCAGTTGCCATTGGATAATACTCTTTTTGATGTTATTACACAAACAGTTTCGGCGCCATTTGCATTCAGCATTGTTCATTTGAGCCGCGCGATGCCGGGTAATTTCTCCATGTCCCACGCACCAAGCAAGCCAAACGCTAGAAAACACGCAGACGCCTTAGAAATAGGCTCCACTTTTGTGACTTTTTCTTGAAAAGGGATTATAATAATCATATAAGTAGTATGTAAATTGAAATATTAAGAAAGATAGTCAAAATGGAAGCTGTGAGGAGGACTCTCGCATGCATAAGAACTCTCTCTCTGATTGGCCAATTGATGTTGATGGTAATCCGTGATCTTTGTCTCCCGCTACCCGCAGATATATTTTTACGATCGTTAGCTATTTGATTGGGGTTTTTATCTTTGCGACCATTGTGGGCCAAGTGGGAAATGTGATAACAAATCGAAATGCCAATCGGTTGGAATTCGAGCGTCTACTCGACGGGGCCAAGACCTACATGAGGCATCACAAGGTAAGTGCTCCCCTAACTAACACGACCTACGACGACGACGACGACCTACAATCTACAATCTACAGGTGCCCGGCGGGATGAAGCGGCGGGTCCTGCGCTGGTATGACTATAGCTGGTCGCGGGGTCGCATACAGGGCGGCGGGGATATTAACACTGCGTTGGGCCTGTTGCCCGATAAATTGAAAACCGAATTGGCCTTACACGTTAACCTAAGCGTATTGAAGAAGGTGACCATATTCCAAGAGTGCCAGCCGGAATTTCTGCACGATCTGGTGCTGAAAATGAAGGCATATATCTTTACGCCGGGCGATTCAATCTGTCGCAAGGGCGAGGTGGCTCGTGAAATGTTCATTATAGCCGATGGCATTCTGGAGGTGCTCAGCGAGACGGGCAAGGTCCTCACCACCATGAAGGCGGGCGATTTTTTCGGTGAGATCGGTATACTCAATCTGGATGGCCTGAACAAGTGAGTGATCCTTAGGATTTCCCCTACCTCCTTCAACATTTTCTAACGGGCTTGATTTGCTTGCCTCTAGACGCACCGCGGATGTGCGCTCCGTGGGCTACTCGGAGTTGTTTTCGCTATCACGCGAGGACGTGTTGGCCGCCATGAAAGACTATCCGGACGCACAGGAAATACTGCAGACTCTCGGACGCAAACGCCTCATGGAGGTGCGATGCGTGAACAAGAAATATGCCAAGGCGCAAAGTGACAAGGAGGCTGCTGCCTATGCCGCCGCCCATCCGCATCATCCACATGCTCCACATGCTCATCCGCACCATCATCAGGTGCATCAGAGCGACAGCAGCGAGAACAGTGCCTCCAAGAAAATAGTGGACAAGCTGAAGCACGATGTGAAGGGCTTTCGCAATGTCCTCAAAAAGTCCAGGTAAGTTGCCGCCATCAATATACGTGGAATTGGTTTTAATACCAAGCACTTCACGCTCAGAACCTCACGCAAGAGCGATGAATCACTGGAAATGCAACCGCTGCACAATACCTCGCCGCGTGGCAGCAAGATAATGCTGAAGCGCATGTCACGCGTGCGCTCCGATGACAAGGATGCGGATAGCGCCGAGGCGAAGGATGAGCTGCATGACAAGACGCCCAGCCCGATTGGGGCCGGCCTGCCGCTGCTGCAGCGCCTGCGTCTGCTCAAGGAGAAGCAGGTAAGTCCAGGCCCGATAGCTGTCATAGCCAGTGCCATAATCATTGAACACAGCCACCACCAGCGACACCACCACCACTACCACCACCACAACCACAACCACAACCACCGCCCAGTTCTGTTTTGTATCACAAACGTTTTTGATCAACTCACCATTCCAATTGGAATTCGTGCATACGCAAAACTTATTTAAACACATTTCGTATAATTCGCATAATTCGCATAATTCACCTCATTGTTTAACCTAACGAGCTTTTAATGGTGTTTATCCCAAAGACAAGCAACAGATATACATACAAATTCCAGTACTAAGCTGAACAAATACGTATACTAGACAATACGCATACACAAATGCTCGTATACTCACAAAAAGCATACCGAATTACTCGTATACTCATAAATACACATACCGAGTACACGTGTACACACAAATACGCATACCGGAAAACTGTATACGAGTTTCCGCAACAAATACGCATATCGAAAAACTCGAATGCTCACAAATACGCATACCCGAATACTTGTATACTCACAAATACTCACTCAAATACTCGTATACTCACAAATACGCATACCGGAAAACTCGCATACCCGCTCGATACGCACTCTTCAGTCTTTGGAGTCGCGTTGAGTGCCGCTTCCCCTTTTTTTATTGTTACTCGTTCATTTTGTTGTGTTCTTTTCCTCTGTATCGTTAAATAAGTTATAGTTATATTGAATTGCTTCTAGTGCACCTTAACCTTTATAATAATAGCTACTCGTAATTCAATTGATAATCTTGTATGAAGCACGTTTTTCGAATGAATTCTCTAACGAATTCGATGCAATTATGGCCCTTGTTTTTAAGTTGCTGTCAAAGTGCGCGCTATAAATCAGCTGCCTTTTTCTTTATAGAAATATAATTCGTTTATTTTTTAAGGAGATTTTATTTGGAATAGCTTTAATTGGATTCATATTTATGTTTAAATATTAGCTAAATGAAGGCTTCGGGTAAGCTAGGACCCTATCGGGCGACTTAAGTTCATTTTGCAGCTTCTTATGATTTCATGTTAATGGACCTGCTTATAAGCCTCTTATATATCTGTCTGTGCGCCATACCAAGTAGAGAACTGGAATTTGCTTGACGGCTGCCTTAAGATTACCCATAATTAGTTGCTCAATTAAAATTTTATTTTTGTAAGTAAACAAATCTATGAAAAGACCATAGACAGACTAAAGAAATAGACAAAACCAAGGGAACAAACTACACCACACTTTATCATATCTGACCTGATCTATACTAAACTCTTCTGTAACATAAAACCACACCTGATCACAGTTAGTCATTCACACTGAATTTCACCAGAACAGTATGTGACGTCCCACCACAGTTTACTACACCTCACAATTAAGTACTAACTAAACCCAACTTAAGTACATCAACTCACATAACGCTAAGCCACACATATACTTGCTACTCTTACTACTCTATACATAAATATAGCATCCTTTTATACACCACATCATCCAGAAACACACCACAGCCTTTAAACACATGTCAATAGGGTTACGTACTGTACCACATTTAAATGTGGCCCATACCCTTCCACATTGAATCAGATTACACTGACGTACACCACTCTCCTTATAACACCACACCATAGAAAATACACCACACCTTTCATTCACACCACACTTTGCCATCTTACATACCATACCACATTCAACTGCATTAAACCTTACCATAACACACCACACCACACCATACCACACCATACCACACCATACCACACCATACCACACCATACCACACCATACCACACCACACCACACCATACCACACCACAGCACACCACAGCTGACCATACCACACCGCATCTCATTGTTCGACACCATATCATAGAAAACACACCAAACCTTTCATTCACACCACACTTTACCATCCTACACCATACCACATACGATTACATTAAACCTTAGCATAACACACCACACCACACCACAGCACACCACAGCTGACCATACCACACCGCATCTCGCATACTCAGCGAAGAGTTTATCAGAATGTATGATTTTTGCATTTGTACATTTTGATTTAGTGGCTAATTTAATTAAGCTTAAAACCCAAAAGAAAGAAAGCTAAATCCAAAAGCAAAATTCGTGTTGTATGTAATGAACCCCGGCTCCTAAATAGTAGTTTTTGTATGTGTCTTTATGTGTCTTGCACTAGGATCGCGAAGAGCGAGCTGTTAAGTCCACACCACCACAGAAATCTCCACCTCACTCACATGTAACGTGTACGTTATCGCCGCAGGAATCGATACAGGAAGAGCCCGAACGCGAGTTTAACGAGGGCTTTCCCCTGATCCAGAGATTGCAGCAGTTGAAAATTAAAAACGAGCCACAAATTAACGCCATCAACGAGTCCGGCGTCGTCATGGTAAAGCCGAAAATCACTCTATCAATATCAAGCACAACAGTTTCGAATATATATTATAGAATGATTCATATTTGATCCGCCCTATTGCCAAGGCAGCAGCATATTAATTCCATCTTTTAACTAACCCCCTAGGCACACACGCCGCCCAACATCAGCAGCAAGGTGGACTTTGGAGCAGCAGCAGGTGTGGCAGCAGTTGGTGCGACAGGTGGTGCAGGCACAGCTCAAACGCTAACCGTCGCCCAAATCAAGCCCATCATGAAGGTCTCATTCAAGCAGAAGATACAACAGCTGCAGGGCGTGGTGCCGACCGTGGCAAGCGCCAGCAGCACCGCCAGCAGCACCGCCAGCACCACCGGCGCCATAGCCAAAAAGGAGCCACCCAAATCGCTGGCTGTGGTGGCCAAGCATGCGAGCACAGGTCTGCCATCGTTGGAGACGGCGGCTCTTGCTGGCGCAGCTGCGTTGGGCGGTGGCCAGCCGTTGGTCAGCGGCATGTCGAGGAAAGTGATAAAACCGTCCCAGATGCTGGTCACACCGTTGCAGTCGGATACGGATACGGATGGTACGCCCATCAAGCCCTGGTCCAAGCTGAAGCTGGCCACACTGATGTCAGCCAGCTACACGAGCCTAAACAACTGCTCGCCGGACGATCTGGCAACGCCGCTAAAGAACTATTCACTAAGCAATATACCGCAGCACATGGAGGGCACGGCAAACGCTCGACCACGGCATCACAGTGCGCGCAGCTCACGCTCGCCGCGTCACGCACACGCACAAGCTCATGGTCACGGTCAAGGTCACGGTCAAGGTCACGGTCAAGGTCACGGTCAAGGTCATGGTCAAGGTCATGGCTCCAGCTCGAGCACGTGCTCATCGAGCGCCCGGAGCACATTGAGCAGCACAGGCGAATGCCAAAGACTGCAAAAACCGGAACAGCAGCTGCCCGAGGTTGAAGCAAACGGCCAGAAGCTCTATCAAAGCGTTTTCGATCTTTCGCCGGAATATTGTGGACTGCCGTTCGTGAAGCGCCTGAAGATACTGAACGAGCGCCAGAAGCTGGCCGAACTGGAGAAAGCTCTGCAGACGCGCAGCTTCAGCCTGGACTGCTCGAAGTCGACAAGCAATAACAACGAAGTGCCCATAACGGAGTCATTATATCGCTGCTATAGCGACACCTCCGGCATCTACTCACAGTTTCTGAGCGCCTACGAGTCCACCACCAGCTCCACATCCATTTCGACCAATACATCCGCATCGGATAGCAATTCCAAGCCGTATGCCCAGCCGCATGCCCACCAGCTGGAGTATATGCCCCTCAGCCCGGAATCGAATGAGACCGTCGAACGGCGCAAACTGAAAAGCATATTGAAGAAGCTTCAGAAGGGTGGTGCAGCTGATCAAGCTGGTGGTGCTGGTGGTGGTGGTGGTGGTGGTGGTGGTGGTGCCGCCGATGGTGATGCCCAAGACGAGGCGAATGCCAAGGCCAAGGGCAGTAGTGCACTATCGAGGGGGCTGCTCATGGAGCCGACCTTGGAAGGGTACGTGGCCAGGCACAGTAAGCTCTTGAAGAGTGTAACCTTCCATTCAACTCTTTCCAGCCCGCCCCCCAGTGCCAAAGAGGAGCTGCACTTCGCTGCCCTCGGTGGTGGTGCTGCTGCCTGCCCAAACAATTCGCAATACGCGAACGCGAATGCAAACGCGCTCGCGCTCGGTACGGTCACGGTAACGGGTAACGGTACAGATAATAATAATATGGCAACGCCAACAGCGCCACGGCCAGCGAACATAATGCTGCCAGATCCGTCTGTCTGGTCGCCGACGTTGGCATTGGTAACGCCAACGAATTCGCCGCAAGAATGTTTCGCATTTGAGCCGCAGTTGGGCGGCGGCGTAATCGCTGGCGTTGGCAACGGCTCAACGTCAATCGCATCCGCATCGGCATCCGCAACGACATCCGCAACCGCATCCGCAACCGCCTCATATGTGGTCGAGTGCTCCGCGTCGAACCAGATACTCTCACAGAATACCGAATTTCATGCACAATCGACAACATCCACAGATTTGAATTTGAATTTGCAGCTCCGGCAGAACACGATGAATGCCACAAGTCAGCCGGGTCAGGCGGGTCAGGTCCCGAAATTGGAAGGTAATTACGTAATTCGCGCACTTTTGCAACAACTCTCCTATATTTACGAGTATTTCAAGTCCAACTCAGACCAACCACGTCCCCTCAAGCTCACAATGCGCCCCGTAACACTCAGCTATTCGATAATCTATCAATTGTGCGAACACTAGGGGTATTCCAGCAACATTTTAGTTATTATAGTTTTATTTCATTAAAAAAATATTTACAAATTTTAGCTGCATACAAATAAATGCGAGCATATCAAAGCTCTGATTTGTAATCGATACTTTTGCTGAATACCCCTAATGTTAATCAGACCGAAGCACTCTGCATGCCTCTTGCAGTGCCTAAAATCACACTATAAAAACTCTTACGCTTCGCTTTGCTTCCCTCTCTCTCTCTCTCTCTCTCTCTCTATCTATCTATCTCTATCTATCTCTGTCTCTAAGTATATGGCTCTATTCAGCCTTTGTGCATTTCTCTCTATGCATGATGATGCCATCTTTTACCATTTACTATTTGGTATTATTTAAGATATTCTTGCTTAAAATTTCGAATGCTTATGCTAGGTTAAGAGTTGATAGCACTTTATAATTTATCGAAAAAGCTTTATACTTATATAAGTTTTATTTATAAGTATTGGCCAGGTTAAGCTCAGGTATTATCAACACCTTCAGCTAAGCAAGAAGTTTAGAATCCAAATCGTATATTTAAGCGCTTTATAGAATTATTGATATGCATATTTATCATTTGCCTCGAGTATGAACGAACTACATATATCAAGCTAAGTCTACACATCTAGAGAAAGAATACTAACTGTATTGGTTTAAGTACACAATTTGCACAGTCACAAAAAAGCATTTTCAGCCCGTAAACGTTTTAGCTCGTCATCGACTTTGATATCGTCAACGACAGTGTTATCGATATCGTTATTGAGCTTGAAACTTATCGAAGCACGCGCACGCACGCTTTGGAACGCAATGGGAATGAAACAACGAAGACGGCGTACGATCGTTCAGCATGCAACCAACACACGCACACACACACACGCACACACACACACAGACAGACTCACTCACATGTACACGGAGCATTTAACGCTTTTGTAAATACTTAAATGAAGAATCCAAAATTTATCATTGATTTTGATTGATTTCCATGACGGAAACGCAAGGAAGCGCTGTAATTTGTATGGGAATGTGTGTAAATAACTGTAACCTGCGTATGTATGCATTATCTAATTTGTTAATCGTTTGGTAACAACACGACAACAACAACACGACAACAACAACAGCAACAACCACAACTGCAAATCGCTTTGACTCTTACAGCCAAATTACTATCCTTGTTCCTCTCTCTCTCTCACTAACACACACCCATGCACACACACCCCACACACACACACACACACGCAGACACACCCACATCCACACGGGCGCATAGTTGCGCCTCTCACTTGTCTGTCGGGCCGTACACAACTGTACCAGAAACACGCACAGGGTTGCCACCCGAGTGTTCGCACTTACTAACCTCAAAATACAATTTGAATTCAAGGCTTTCCAGAGGCGCAGGACTACTTCAATCAGATAGTTAGCGGCATCAATCACGTGATCAAGACGCACATGAACGAAATGCACTCAAAGTTCGAGTCGCAATTCTCGAACATGGCCGGCGAGGTGAGACGCCGGGACGCGATAATTGCCCAGCTGCAGCTGAAGCTGCGCTCCATCGAACAGAAATCAACGATGGCAACACCAACGCGTCGCATTAAGCGGGAGAAGCTGCCGCAGCTCTCCGTGGACGATGACGAGCCAGCTGAGCAGGATAATAGCAGTTCGGGCTCCTCGGCCGAGTTGCTCTTCATGGTAAGTTCTCTTACGTTCGCGCTAGCATTGCCAGCGTTGCCAGACCAACGAATATTAAATGTTTTCTACTCTCAAGCAATATTGGAGTTTGTCCAAACCCAATGCTGCCATATGTGTCAAACATTGACAGCTGGCAACGCTGCATATGCATATCTTTAGCCTCACCAGTATTAACCACATGTTAAAGTTCATGTTAACCTCTTAACTGGTACGTGATAATAGAGCTCTCTCTCTCTCTCTCTCTCTCTCTGTCTGTCGTTTGGCAGCGCGGCGACTCGCTGGACACTGTGTTCACCTCGTCGCCGCCCATCCAGGGCGGTCGGCGCAGCATATCGCCTGGACCCAGCCGGCATCATGCGGCCTCCGCCAATGCGCTCAACTGTCCGAGCAGCTACTACAGCGGGCCGGGCACATTGACGACGCGGCACGCCCAGAGCCAGCCCAGCTTCTATACGCCGCACGGCAATGGGCGGCACAGTAGCCGGGCGGGCGTACTGCCCGGCTATCGCGATTGGCTTGAGCATGGGACTGCCAGCAGCAGCAGTATGGCAGGAGGCGCTGGCGCGAGCAGCTCTGGCATGGGCATGGGCGTGGCCAGCAGCAGCAGCGGCAGCGGAAGCGTCAGCGGCAGCGGCACCGGCATGATGGTCTCCGATGTGACGGGCAACTTGACCCGTCTGTCGGACAGCGTCATTTTGGATATTGGCGAGAGCTCCAGCTCGAGCTCATCGTCGAGCAAGCTGAACATTGCCGATATCGATATCGACGACGATGACGATGACGAGGCGGAGGATGAGCTGAGCGGCGCGGCTCTGGTCACGGCGGCCACCAGCAGCGGCGCCGCCAGCGCCGCCAGCGCCGGCCACAACGACTGGGAGGTGCGAATGCTGGCCGCCGAAATGGAGCGGCAGGAGCGCAAGCGTGGCCTTTCCCTGTCCGACAATTTGGGCGAGCTGCGCCACTGCAGCACATTTCTGCGCAGGCGTCGCAAGTTCAGCGACACCGAAACCGAGCACAGCGAAACCGATGCGGATGAGCGTCTGGCGGCCATCGGCGGTGCGGCTGCCGCCGATGTGGATGCCACATTGGGCGTGGCCAGCGGAAACGGCAGCGGTAACGGCAGCGGCAGCGGCAGCGGCAGTAATCGACCGCGTGCCTCGAGCCTGGATCAGTTCAACCTGCGCTATGGCATTGGGCGTGGCATCTTTAAAGCAATGAGCATCGATCGTGATAAAGACAAGCTTTGAGAACTATAATCCCAGCAGGACGCAACCAGAACAACAACAACAACAACAACCACCCACAGCAATAACAGGAGCAAACCTGACAGACACAAACAATAAGCTAAGCAATACGAGCAGTATTACAAAAGGAACCACACCCACACACACACACACACACACACCCACACGCACACACACACACACACACACACACTTCGATATACAAGACAGCATATAAAGAGGTATGCTATATATATTCTATATATATGTTTAGCCCTTAACCAATTCTCCAGAGCAAGAAAACCACAAGAAAAGAAAAAAACAGAAAAAAAAAGATGAAAGTTAGGGAAATCCTATAGAAACACACATAAAACCTAGTATTAGAGGCAAGCAGCGAAGAGGAAGAACACAGCACACAAAATAAGTCGAAGAGCGATCCACGCTTTAGTCCAGAAACCCAATTTATCTTAGGCACATGTCTTGCATATCCCATGTATACTATATCATATGCACACATATTTCAATTCTCATGTTATCGTTATCGCTCATTTTATAATTTTTATCGTTATCGTTTGACTATGACCGATATTTCTTTTGCAGCTCTATGTGGCGTCTGCTTCATTTGCATTAGCGCCTCATGTTATCGTCCTTGTTATCGGCTTTGTTATCGGTGTCACTGTCGCATTCATTGATAAGTCAAAGCAGTTGTGATCGTTATCGTTATCGTTATCGCTAGCGGTACTATTATCGTGCCATAGCCAAACTTTTTAAACCAATCAACATTATCCGCATACCTCATGCGTATTCCATATATAAATATGTGTACGTCTATATTAGTTCTCATGTTATCGTTATCGATATCATTTTCTTAGGTCAATTACCAAACTCGCTTCTCTCTCGGCAATGTTACCGAATTTGCCTGCCCAATTCATTTCGTAACTCTTTTCATTTTATCGCCTTCGATATATATATATCGATTTATCGCTTCCATTTTCATTCTGATTTCTCAACCCTTTCCACACATATTCTAAACATGCACATATCGTATATACAGACAGCCCTCATGGCTATCGCTATCGTTATCGTTATCGTTTTTGTTGCCATAGTCAAATGGTCAGTTTTCAACACTGGCAACGCCTTCCATGTACTAAGCCTTACATTTGATATACAAAATTGAGTGTGTGAGTGCGTGTTAGTGTGAGTGTGCGTGTGAGTGAAAGATAGATGCGAGCATCCACATAATACCGTCCTATATATATATATTTATCTATATATATATATAGCGTCCATGCCATTGGCGCACATATGATTTGTATTAGTATTGATATCTAATGTGTGTATGAGTGTGTGTGTGTGTGTGTGTGTGTGTGTGTATGAGGTTTTGTCCCTGTCCCGTCACTAGTTCCCATATATTACTTGCCTGGGTTCCTGGACATGCGGTGGATATGCTTAGCTTCGACAAAAAAAAACAAAAAAAAAAGAACAAAAAGAAACTAAGAATGTATATACCTCTTATCCTATTAAGAACGTAGTTATACACACAACACACACAAATATATATATATATATATACATACATATATGTTATATATACTAGATAAATATATATATATATATATATATATTCTTAAATATAATATGAAATAGTGTAATGAAAACCGAAAGCTTTAATAACTTATATAGAGACCTATTTAAGAAACATTTTAAATACTAATCAATTCAAGCAACAACAACAACAACAAGACGAATAGATACCAAACTATGAATACGCAGACAGAAACCGAGAGAAACACACACAATTAATATATTATAGTATTATATAAATACCATATAGACATATAATGTTATAATAAACACCATGCATACAACATACAAGTACTTACATAGAGCCTTTAGCATATATACTTAATACCACATTCAGTTGGAAGTTATTAGAGAACTGTCTAAGCGTTAGTCTATCTACTATCTACTATCTACTATCTACTATCTACTATCTACTTTATAGCAATTTAGTCTAGATTCCAATGCAATACAGCAATAATCAATACCAACTAATGCTATCAATCTAATCATCTCTCGCCTAATCTAGGAAAAGCACAACATTGACTTTCTAGTTTTTCACTTTGTCTAAGCCCATACCAAAATTTAACCAATTAGTTGACGAGGCTCGCCGCAGCTTTTTTATACTTCTAATGCCAAGTAATACTTTAGGGCGGACTTTTCAAAAAAGTCTCTTAGTTTAGTCTCTAGCAAATGCACAAACGATACGATAAAGCTTATCTCCCAACACAAAAACAAACGAAGAAAAGGTAACTCCCATCTAATGTTTCATCTATAAGCTAATCGCTATTTTATTGTAACAATTTAAACGAAAAAGAAACTTAACTTAAAAGCCTCAATTCAAGAGAGAACGAATAATTGTGTTAAAAAAGAAACTGTTTTTAATCTAAAGATTTTATCAGAACAACAACAAAAAAATAAGGAAAAAAAAAACTTGTTGCTACGTTAAGCTAAGCAACACACACAAATTGAACACTGTTATAGACCGTCCCAACACCGCCCTTAACTATGTGCCAAAGCTGCAAAACTATCGATAACACTATTGTGAATATCGATTTTGGTTTTGAGTCGTTATGGTTTAGGCAATTCCTGCCAGGTCGCTGAGCCAAGCTCGACATCGATTTCACTTATCGATAGTTGCATCGATATTGCGACTAAAGTTTTATCGATAGTTGGGCAAATGCACGCTCGACCGCTCGCACCGCTCGCACCGCCCCCAGCCGAACTGTTGTTATGTAGTCAAATGTGGCCATTAACAGAGGCCTAGCCACGCCCACTATAGAGTTTCGTAGCGCCTAGCCAGCAAACGTTCAGATCAGAACTCACTATCGATACAAGAAACAAAAACTATCGTAACTATCGTATTGTTTTGTAACGTAAGTAGTTAGCGCACGAGTCGAGTCAGAACGAAACGTAACACTATTCAGACACTATATGTCATATATATATATATATATATGTATGTGTATACACGTACATACAATATATGTTCTATATGCTACTACTTAACAATATGTATTAAATACAACAACTAACTAACTACTTGTCGGCGGTTGAGTTGTACGCCATATATTGCATTGTACAAAAAGCACCATGTTATCGATATATCGATATCGATGTCCACGTCGATGACGATGACGATAACGCATCAATTCAAGGAACAATTTCAATGGGTTCAATAAATGGGTCACAGCCAGCTAAGCAGTCCAACTAAATTTAATAAGAGTACCAACAAAAAAACACAAGCACAAGTTAATCGAAACTCTCTTAATCATCTAGATTGTTAAGTGATTATATAATATACATATATACATATACGTTAAATAAGCAAATACATGTTTATTCCATTGTTTTCTATCTGTTCTCTCGAGTTCTTTCATTGTTGAGACGAAACCAAAAACCAAATACATCTTCTCCTTTTTTTTCGAATTACTTACATACGCCAGGGACCACAACAGTTTAGAGTTCTGTTTTTCCTTTTATATAAGAACGTGACAAAGTATTTAACACGAAACTAGCAAATGTAATGCAACTAAATCTAATGGATCTAACGATATATATACATACATATATATATAGTATATATATACTAAATGCAACTATGATAAATATTAACTGTGTAAACTTCATCATATGATTTGCATCAGAGCAAAACAAACACGCACACACACACGCACACACATACACAAGCACATGAAACAACAGTTATCGCACTCTGATCGCAACTAGAGATGAGCGTGTATCGGATTGGCGACTTCCGCCGATACCGGAAACGGAAGATGCACATGACACACGCGATTAGAGCTAAAAAAAAAAGTGCCACAACTTTATTGACTTATTAATTACTTACACTTTTAAAGAACAAATCAAACACTTTTTTCTTCAAATGAAATTTAATTAGTATTATTATTTATTATAAAAGTGCAAAAAGTATGCACTCTCTTTACTCTGCAAAAAAAAAAAAACAAACTGCTGAGATCAGTTGAGAAAATATCTGAATTTATCTAACAAATTTGAACTCATATTATTAATTATTGGCACGAACTTGGCGTGTCACGCGCTCATCACTAGTCCAAATTCTCGTAGATGCGAAGGAAAAAACGCAACACACACACACACACACACACACACACACACGCACGCACACATGCACATCTTGTATGAAACTCTGTGAGTCAATTACCTATGAATGTGAATACTTTAATTAATTTTAGACCCCTCTGCCCAACCCCCCCCCCTCCCCCCCCCCCCCCCCCCACCAACCTCAGACCATCCTGTATATTAAGTACTAAAAGTTGATGTCGTTGTTGTTGTTTTAAAATTAATCGCTTTTAAGTTATCGATATTTTTGTACACTAGCTTAAGGTAGCCCGTTAGAGTACCCACAAGAGTCTAGTCTTAAAATTCCCCATTTTTTTTTGCCTCTCTCTCTCTCTCTTTCTCTCTCTCACACACTCCTTATTGCTAATTTCGCAAATGTTGACAGATACTAAGAAAAAATGAATGCATATTATTATATAGCTGAAGAACTATATGAAGTACATAATAAAAGAAATGAAATTAGCAAATGTTAAAGAAGCGCAAATAAAGAAACGAAAGAAACAAACTTGAAAAGCAAAAACAAATAAGAAACTTGCCTATGAATTGCGAGTTAACATTTAGTGTGCCAAAAATCTACATCATATCAATTTTACTCACCATAAGGTATGATGTTGCTAAAGGAAAAGCCAAGAATACAGAACAGAAACACGAGAGATCATAACATATATAAAACTATATAAATTAAAATAAAGCAAAATAATAATGAACAAAAAAAACAAATGCAACTAAGGTGAAATATGAAAAAGAAACATAATAATAATAATAATAAAAAATATTAATAACAACAACAGAATATATATTCAATAAATTGAAAGAAAACACGAGCGAATTTTCAACATTTTTGGAGCCAAGCTCTTTTGCAATTTGGTGCCGTTATCAGCAGAGACTACACTCAAAACAATTTGTTGCTAGATATGTGGATTTCAAAAAAAACTTAATTGCTTAATAATATAATTACTTCAATATATAAATGCATAGAAAATATTAACTGAATTTGAAACAAGTGCAATTTTCTGATATATAGAAAATATATTTGTGGAGTGCACTCTGAGAAAACTCCAGCAAATAACGAAAGGCAGCTTCAAGGTGTTCCAACTGAACAAATATATAGATACAAATATATATACATATATATATATCTATATATAGAGTATTTCCTTTGTGCCCTCTTAAACTCACCCTAACTTACCTTGGCCGTCGCTCAGTGCAAAAGCACAGCAACAGTTGCAAAGTTTCCGAGATATAATCTGTCAAAAAGTTCTTAAATCCCGCCAGCATCGAATGATGTTACTTTCCTCAGCAGCTATGCAGCGCAGATAAGACAAAGAACGCAATCCTCCAGCTTCTTTGCTTGGGATATCATTTCGAATGCAAAGAGAAATGAATTTTGACTTTTATGTATCACGTCGGACTAGAGTTGAAAACGGTCAGTAGTATCTGGCGCCATCTACAGTGCGTCCATGGCACTGCAGCGGCAAAAGCTTTGTCAGGTGCCAAGCTTTCGCGCACGCGCAGCAGCAGGAGCAGCAGCAGCTGCTGGTCACAGCTGGCCGAAGCAACGCTGAATATGCCGTTACGGGCAATTTCAATTGCCGACATCTGGCAACGCTGCGCGCGCTGCAGAGCTTTTGTTATGCTCGCCGCTCGCATTCATCCCCACAATTCGCGATGCTGGCGCATAAGGCAGAAGTTCTTCAGCGCAGCACACAACGCGGCGGCCAACGGAACCAACGAAATACAACGAGAAACCACAATCGAAAATAAATAAAACAAGAGCTGAACGAAAAGAAAAAGCAAAGCAAAACGAAAAACAAACAACGAAAAACACAAAAAACAAATATATATATATAAAATACAGCAAATTTGTTTTCTATTGCCTAAGCACAAGTTTTGTATATTTAGAAGACGAGAGGAAGCGAAATGTGTGCACTGTTTGCGGATTCTGTTTTCAGAATCTGTGGCATGTAACGGTAGTTGGACGTGTGTGCGGGCGTGTGTGCGTGTGTGTGTCTCTCTCTCTGTCTGTGTCTGTGTCTGTGTGTGTGTGTCTGTGTGGAGCAGTGCGCGGAATCGGAATCGGTAAGTGAAATTTTTGAAAGCACAACAAATATTATTTGTTTACATTTGATGCAAACACACACGTGTGTGTGTGTGTGTGAGTGTGTGTGCCCCTATCTGTGCGTGTGCGAAAAGCTTGCGAAAGATATTCAGATTGTTTTCTATTTAATTACTTTGGCTTGTTGCAAAATTTTCAGTTTGTTTATGTGATTTGCGCACCATTTATAAATGTTCATTTTTATGGGGGCCACATACAACCTTAACTGAATCAACCCACCCCCCCCCCCTCCTTACCCCACAGAAACACACCCCTGCCCCTGCTGGACACCCCTTTATAATTATGTAAATTCCGCATAGCCCAAGCGTGTGAGCATGTGTCCAAAACTGCAGCTGGCTCTGCTCCAATTGGGCGTTAGCGATTTCCTCCATTCGTTCACCTGTCTGCGGGTATTTTGACAGGCCCCTCGGGTGAGTGAGGGAGGGAGGGGTGGGGAGGGGTAGTTTGGGCTTTGTTTAGCATGCGATAAACGAGGGGCCGCTAATGTGCGTGGCCAATCTGATTTATGCGGCCGCCAAACAATCAAATTATTCTCTGGTATTCCCCATTTTGGGCTTTGCTTTTGCTCTTTTGTTTTGTGCGTGTTTTATTTGTGGCCCCTTTTTAGCAGACATTTAAGGTTTTTTTGTCATCCACTGTTGGGTTGTTCCAAGGCTTGCATTCAAATTTAGTTCCAATTTCTGTTTATGTTCAATTTAACTTGATCTTTAATCAGTCATTTGTCAAAAGTACCACATAGTAATAGAGCACAACAGCGCTTTCGGCGACCAAAGCTTTCACACACACACGCCACACGCACGCAGCAGACAGCTGCTCGACGCTGCAGCGCGCAGCGTAGCCAGCGAAAGCTCACCAATACATGCGCGTGCCGTGTGCGCTTGTATTGGTACGTGGCCAGCTTGTAAACTATGTGCGCGCGTTTAGTTAGTTTTTGATTGGCCCTCGTAAAATACTTAATGCCCAGCTGTTGCATAAATTTTCGCATTTTGCTGCTTGTCTTTCTGCCGACACACACACGCTCATCTGTGTACAGGCATAAGGAGGGGGGGAGGGGGGGGGGGGGCGGTTGTGTAGTATGTGGTTTTGTGGATTTCATGCGCGTGTCGAGCAGCTCAAGGAATTTTATAGTTCATATCGAGGCATGAAAAGGCGATTTGCTTGCGCTACAGTTTAGCCTTTTTTTCTTTCAAATATATACCCTGTAGCCACAAGCTGGTTTTAATGAGCAACAGACAGCACATAACTCTGAGCAGATTGAACAACTGGGCTCTGACATATATATAAATTGATATAGGTGGGATATAACTAAAGTGTGTATGGCTGTTGCCAAGGGAAACACGGAGCATGACTTGATAACAGCGTACAGGGTAGCTGCTAGTCAATCAGCCGCTGCCGAAATAATTGTTCTTTTTAGCTGCGGCTGAAGTGCGGCCCCCTTTTGCGGTGGGGCAGGCGGGCTGCTGTCGTTGTCGTTGTCGGGGCTACCATCGCGCATTATATGGCATTGGGTAGCGACTAGGCTCGAGGCTCGAGACTCGAGGCTTGGCTATTGTGGATTGAGGATTGAGGCTATGGCGTCGTTGAGTCCTTGCGCATTTTTTTTCGTAGCGTCTCCATAGCAAAATCAACAAAAAAAAAAACAAAAAAGAAGAAAACAAGACAGAAGGGCAAAATAAAATTTGAGCCTCACGGCTTTCGGTTCAGTTTGAGTTCAGTTTGGCGAGGTTTTTGTTTTCAGCTGGCAGCATTACGGGAAATTAAGCGGTTTAATTGGTCTCATCAAATGCGCGCCAATCCATTAGAAGTAAGCGACCCGACGGTCGACGGCCTAGATAAATGTATATCTATATCCATATATAACCCCCCCCCCCCCCCCTATCCCTCTATAGTATATCTACATACTCATATAGACTTATGTTCGTTTCAGTAATGCAAAGGCGGCGTAATGGCACTGCAAGGCTGGCGCTTTTTCGGTGTCTCGGCAACAATCATCATCTATATAGGCGGCGTCCTATTTCTATCCATGAACAATATACCCGGCTCGCATCCAAAACGCACGCGCATCGAGCGATTCGCCGAGGTACTACTACGACATATTGCTACTACGACATATTGTCATTTGTGGAGTAAATATTTCGATTTCTAAATGGGTTTTTTCATTTGACAGTTTTCCAGCTTTCATAGTCCCCGGTTTCCCATGCCCAGTCGCAAAATGACCATTCGCTGGTGTCGCGACCTCAAATATCTGAATCGCGAGCTTCCAAACTACACAGACTACAAGGCCGGCGACTACTACAGTAAGTATTGCCTACAACCGAACTACAATTTCCGAATATTTTTGAAGAAAATGCAAAACTCCTTTGAGCAAGTTTTATAGTGTTTCCTTTGGCTTAGATATATTAAGAGCCATCTACGTTTTAAATGTCGGAAAAACGAGAAGCCAAAACATTAACGAAGAGCAAAATCTCGGGGGAATCGAATGAAATTTGCCCGAGCTATGGATGTGAAACTTTTGACCTATGTAGGATATTTGTGGGTACCATTTGTCCATGAATTTTGACCAAGAATAATGTTGTCAGATTTAGATGCCAAATTGATCTAGAGGTCATAGCAATAACGAAGAGCCACACTTTGTGAAAATTGGATGAGATTTGACCGAGTTATGTGGTTGGGAAATTTTTACCTATGTCTATATAGGATATTTGAGAGTACGATATTGACGTGAATTTTGACCAAGAATAGATGCCAAATTGATCTAGCGGCCAAACCATGAACAAAAAGCCAAGCCTCGTGAAAATCTGTTGAGTTTTGGCCGAGTTATGGGGTTGGGAAATTTTGATATAGGACATTTTTCTATATAGGATATTTGAGGGTACGATGTTTGCATGAATTTTAACCGAGAATAATGTTGCCAGACGGAAACTCTCTATGCGTATATTTGTCGCTCAAAATAAGTTACAGGCTATTCAAATTAAACTAAGAATTAGACGTCCTCGGACCTATAAAGTATATATATATATATTCTAGATCGTATCTTCAGCCGAGTCGATATAGACAACCTATAGAAACCATAAAAACTACTTATATGTAAAAGAATTTGACATACTTCTAATAACTCAAATATTTGCAGCTGCTTTGCCCAGCGATGCGAGTGCCAGTCTGCAGCTGCAGGGTATGGCGCCGTCGCCCATGCTGACCGCGCTGGCCAGCTTTCCGGGCAGCGGCAATACGTGGCTGCGTTATCTGCTGCAGCAGGCGACGGGCATATTGACGGGCAGCATATACAAGGATTACGGCCTGCTGAAGACGGGCTTTCCGGCGGAAAATGTGTGCAACAGCTCAGTATTATTGGTGAAGACGCACGAATGGGGCGCCAAGGCGTGGGCGCCCTTCTCCAAGGCAATACTCCTGGTGCGCGATCCCGAGAAGGCGATCATTGCCGAGTTCAATCGCCAGAGCGGCGGTCACATTGGCTTCGCCTCACCCGATCGCTACAAGCGCACAAAGGGCAAATGTGAGTTGAGCACGAGCAAGAAAAGGATGGCGAATAACAATCTTGTGTGTATGTGTGTGTGTGCGTGTGCGTGTGTGTGTAATAGGAGGCGGGCGACGTCATCTCCGGGTCGGAGAGAGTCAACGCTTAGCCACATCCTTCTGTCCGTCCATACCAATATACATATACATATATTCTCCCTTCATCTTCTCGCGATATGTTCGATTTTTCTCATTAGATCGATAAATATCGATTTGGAGATATCGTTTTTCACACATAACTCCAACTCGACTTTAAGCGCTAGAGACACCAAATTCGGTTTGTAGACTCTCGTTTAAAATACGGAGATCCGAAATTCTTCAGTTTTTGTATACCTCTATACCATACCAGTATACATATATATTCTCCCTTCTTCTTCTCGCGATATTTTCGATTTTTCTCATTACATCGATAAATATCGATTTGGAGATATCGTTTTTCACACATAACTCCAACTCGACTTTAAGCGCGAGTTATTAAGGAATGCGTAGAGAAAGAGAGAGAGAGAGAGAGAGAGAGAGAGAGAGAGAGAGAGAGAGAGAGAGAGAGAGAGAGAGAGAGAGAAGAAGCACAGCTGCTTGCTCTTGTGTATATATGTATGCATAGAATTGCTTAATTTGTTTGCTGATGGAAATTTTCTCTCCTTAACAGATTGGCAACAGTTTGTCAGCAATAAGCTCAAGGGCTGGGAGCTCATGAATCTCAGCTGGGCGCGCAATTTTACGGGCAGTATTAAGGTTGTGTTCTACGATGATCTGGTGCACAATACGGAGCGTGAATTGCGCAACATACTCGAGTTTCTCGAATATCCGGTCAACGAGCAGCTGATGCGCTGCGCCCTCATGCGCAAGGAGGGCATCTTCCGGCGCAAGAAACGTCTGCTTTCCTTCGATCCGTATACGGATGCAATGCGGGCCGAGCTGTTGGCGCGCAGGCGGCTCGTCTACGGTTTGCTCGGCAGACACGATTAGAAATCGAGCGCCAAAGTGAATATACTTATAAGCTATACGGTTTAAGGTTTACAGATCTAGGCTAACCTGTAACGCCTGTTACAATCGACGATGACATGTGCAACGAGCAAAGCAAAGCAAAGCAACCCAAAGCAAAGCAAACCAAAGCAAAGCAAACCAAAGCAAAGCAAACCAAAGCAAAGCAACGCAAAGCAAAGCAAAGCAAAGCAAAGCAAAGCAAAGCAAAGCAAAGCAAAGCAAAGCAAAGCAAAGCAAAGCAAAGCAAAGCAAAGCAAAGCAAAGCAAAGCAAAGCAAAGCAAAGCAAAGCAAAACAAAGCAAAGCAAAGCAAAACAAAGCAAATAACCACCTGAGGACAACAGTTCGGCATCCCGCACCCCGCACCTGGCACCCCGCATTCGGCACCCGGCACCGTGCAGCTCACATCCAAGCTCCAGCAGACCCTCAAAAAATGCCTTCCAGTTCGAGTCCACACGGCAAAGGACTTTTGATAGGACCATAGATCTCAATCGAAAACAGTTTAGAAGCACATTTTAGCTAACGATTCAAATCGCCGAAAGAAATTGAAGAAGAAACAGAATACACGAATACGAACAAGAAGAAGAAGGAGAAGTAGAAGAAGAAGAAGAAGAACAGGAGTTGCAGAAAGAACGCAATAATAATATATTTATAACGAACCCTGCCCAAAAGTTCCCTGCCATGCGCTTCGTTTCGTCTCGTTTGCTGCTTAGTTTAACTAAATAGTATATATACTATAATTGCTAGATTTTAAATACTATTTTATTTATTTGTTTTTGTTTATTGTTTCTTTGTGTGTGTGTTTAGGCTAGGCTGTAGGCGTGGTAATGCAACAAGAATTAATCGAGGTATTATGATTCCTGAACGAATTTATGAAATTCATTATACGCCATGTTGTGCTTCATCGCTCATACATTAAATATATTTATATATATATATATATATATATATCTATATAAATACATATTGCTATATGTATATAAATAGCCGTGTATTCCATTGATATTACTCTGTTTATATTGTACTCCAATGTTAGACTATCCTTGTAAAAAGTTTTATACACAATTCTACAATAATTTATTGATATTACAATTAATGATGAACGAACTAGATAATTGTACAAAAAAACAAAAAAAACAAAACTGAACAAAAAAAAAATCAAAAAAACAAAACTGAACAAAAAAAAAAAACAAAAAAAAACAAACAATCCAAAACTCCACAAAATGTTGTTGTTTGAGTCGGGATAATAATCCATATGAGTCCAATAAGAAAAACAAAAAAAAAACTATGTCTTTATTTACCTGAGATATTTCCATTTAAGTGTAAAAAATTTTGGATGCAGAATCGAGAAAATATCGGAAATATGTCAAATTTTGGAATTTGAGTTTTTTTAAATGCCAATCTTTAGTCAATATATAGTCAGTATACATACGAAATAATGTTGCCAGCTTTGCTTGCCAAATTGATTGAATTGAAATGTGCGTGTGTATGTGTGTGCGTATAAATGTATGCATGTATGTATGTATGTATGTGCGTATTTATATTTGTATGTATGCATGTAAATTGTCTTCTTTACCAATAGCAGACCAATTTGCCTTGTTGCGCGGCAAATTTAAATAAGAAAACGTATTTATTAAAGCTGCCCTCCTCCTCGATTTTCAAAAATGTAAGTAAGGTCTGCAGGCTTCACCTATGAATTAGGCGCAGGCGGCTTCAACGTGGAAGCTGAGGAGCCGGAGGAGGACCAGGGGGAGGAGCACCAAGGGGAGGAGCACCAAGGGGGCGGAGCAGGAGTTGTAGGTATGTAGGTATGTAGGTATGTAGGTATGTAGGTATGTAGGTATGTAGGTATGTAGGTATGTAGGTATGTAGGTATGTGGGTATGTAGGTATGTAGGTATGTAGGTATGTAGGTATGTAGGTATGTAGGTATGTAGGTATGTATGTATGTACATATGTACATATGTACATATGTACATATGTACATATGTACATATGTATGTATGTATGTATGTATGTATGTATGTATGTATGTATGTATGTATGTATGTATGTATGTATGTATGTATGTATGTATGTATGTATGAATGTATGAATGTATGTATGTATGTATGTATGTCTGTATGAATGTATGTATGTATGTTTGTATGTATGTATGTATGCATGTTTGTATGTATGTATGTATGTATGTATGTATGTATGTATGCATGTATGTATGTATATATGTATGTGTGTGTATTCGACCAAGAATAATGATGCCATTCCTTGCCCGTGCCATGTTTAATATAAATTCTCTCAAAAATCTTTGAAAATGAGTTTTAAGCCGATTGGACGGTAAACAAACAACTTTCATACAACCGTTTTCCATCAATTTACCACTGTTGCTGGTGGAATTTCCCAATTCCCTGAAAAACGTATTCATTCAGTTCTTATATAGAGCTTTGAAAATAAGTTTGAAGCATATCGGAAAATCGCATTTCCACCGAGGAAGCTTTAATTTTGTGAAAAATGTAAAAAACACCTCTCAACTGATTTTTTATATAGATCCGTGGAAATGAATTTGAGCGCGAAACGTCACACTCCAAATTGTTGACCACCAATTCCACCAAGGAGAAATGCATCTTTCCAGAAGTGTGAAACACCCCTCAAATGAATTGAATCTTTTAAAATGAGTTTGAGGCCAATTGGATGGTAAGCATTAAAGTTTCATACAAACGTCTTTCGCGATTTTTCCACACTTGCGGGTGGAATTACCCGAAACCCCTTCTTAACGCGCTTTCAGGGAAACAAAAGTCAAAGTTTCCCGATTTGGCTGTCAATTCAACTTGTAATATCCTAAAAGTTGGTCATTGGAGAACTAAAGCTTTACGTTTTCAAGCTTTGCGCTTTTGAAGCAAACATTAGCAGTGCTTGAAGCTTTTGCGAGCTTTCATTCAATTGTGTGCAGTTACATGCTCAAAAGCTATTACCGTTTAAACTTGGAGCTTTGGTAAGTTTTTCTGTTAAAGCTTACGGCTAGTAAGCTTAAAGTCCTGCAAGCTTTTAAGCTTGAACGCAATTGTTTAGCCAGCACACATAGATGGCGCCACCAAGCTCAAAATTAGATGACTTTAGATTTAATTTAAGGAGCTATTTAGAATGAAGAACTCACTTAATAATTGCTTAAACAATAAGTATACAGAGCCTAATTAACTAGCTCAATTTTATTATGACGAATATCTATATCTAATATATCTATGTAATCTCCATTTCGATTAAACATGTATCGATTAATAGCAGGCTATATCCTCAAGATGTTGTGTTAACTAAAGTAAATAGATTGTTTTCTTTATAAAGGAGAACTAGTCAATAAGGATGAGTTGGTTGGCTCGCAAAGAAAATGAAACCACATCTCTTGGAATGAGTATGCACGACTTATCCTTTTATACATTTTCCTTTTAATATTGGTTGAAGTCATTCGAGACATTTATCAGCCAGGCTTATAAGTACATCTTTGCATTATTTTTACATTATCATATTGAAGAAAAAAAACATACTTTTTTTAATTGAGAAATTTACTTAAGAAATCCATTTTTATTTTACTTCTTAACGTTAACTACAGAAAATAGTTAAACAAAATATTTGAAATCGATTTAAATTTATTTATTTTAAGTAGTTTTCAAAATTCATTCTTTACGTTACGATTATTTTTATCTATAACAGAATTGATAGTTAAGACAAAAGGTTTAATTTCTCAAAATTAATGATATGCACACATTGTACAATCCACAGAAAACAGAATCCATCAGAAAATCTTAAGCTTATTAATTGGAATATTAAAATCATTTGAAAATATCTAAAAAAAAATCATGAAAGCCAAACACGTGCATTTTTCGTCTGTACAGCATTGTTTAACAGCTGTTATCTTAACAGGATTTGGTTATGTAATTGTTATGTATTTCTTGTGAGATATTTTAGTGAAAAGTGATCTTAACAGAATTTGGTTAATTTAATATTTCCGATATGTAACATGTTAGTTTTAAGAATTTCTTATGGATATCTTAGCCAAAACTTTTGTATCTTAGTCACTTTTTAAAATGTGTTTGTTTTTTGGCAGAAAAATCGATTAAATCACTCAAAAAATATCATCAAAGTCAATCACGTGCAATATTTGTCTGTACAGCAGTGTTTAACAGCTGTTATCTTAACAGGATTTGGTTATGTAAACGTCTCCGGTATGCAACATTTAAATATCACGTCAATATTTTAGTCCAATTTTTTAAAAAAAAACCTTTAAAAAACTGGATTTTTATCCAGAAAAATCGTGCGAACTCCCCATAGTGCTGCGACACCCATTTCTTTGCTGCAAAGAGCACCCTGTATGTGTGCATGCATTTAACAGTCGCACTGGCGATACAATGAATAACTGGGCGCTAGGCGTAACCACACCGGACCCAGCCCACAAGCCCATACACCGCCCCTCCCCCCACCGACCACCCCCAATGACCATGCCCGTTTTGCGGCGGCATTGTCGAGCCGTGTTGGCCGTGTTGGCCCGTGTTTTGTGCCTTTTGTTAAGGCTCCTGTCGCGTTGCCTGCCAAAAAATTGTGCCATATGCCGGTCGCAGACAGGCATTGCGATGCTCAGCCAAAGCGAGAGGCAGAGCGAGCGAGACAAAGTGTGCGAAAGAGACAGCGGGCGAGAGAGAGTGCCGATAACGGAGCGGAGCGGAGCGGATAAGGGGGTAAGTAGAGGGCGCTGCGGCTGCTGCTGCTGGTTCTGCTGCTGGTGCTGCTGCTGCTACAAGAGTCCCGGCCACAACTGGATGGTGGGATCCAGTGCGCAGTCGCTGGGAATAGCCGCCACCGTCGTCACATTGGCTTCGTCAAGTTTGTTGTCTGCTGCACAGATACAGGCACAAAGCAATGCTGCCCAATTCCAGCTGAACGAAGCCGTCGGCGTTGACGCTGGCAGCGCTGCAGCGACCAATCAGCGTTGAGCTGCTTGTATTACATAAAGCGCAGTGCTGCCATTTTGTAGGGGTGGCCGTCACGGCCACGCCCACAGCTGTTAAATAATGAAAACATGTCCTACCCATTGAAAATAAACTCTGAAGTTAGCGAAACTCATCATAGAATTCTTTATCACAACACAACGCGCGCTTGTCTAGTTGTGAAATCTGTTCGCTTGCGTTTCGTTTTCAGTTTCGACAATAGTTGAGCGCCGCGAGCCGACCGACTGATCGACCGACCGACCGACCGACCGACCGACACACATACATACACACCCACCCACACACAAACAGACAGACACATGCACACAGAGCCAGCGAAGAGAACAGCTGTGCGAGCAACGGCCAGGCAAACACAAACAATACACGCACGCACACACACATAGACGCAACTCAACGCGCGAACAGTAGAAAAAAAAACAAATTCAAAACAACAAAAACAAAAATAAAAGTAACTAATTCTTGTTGAGCTTTAAGCGCGGCTTGTCAACGGTTAAAGCTCCGGCTCAGGCTCCGGCTTAGGCGCGAAAGCTTCAGAGCGCGCGACGCGTGGCTCGGCTCGGCTCAGCTTGGCGACGGCGGCTACGCTTCGCTTTGGCTTCGCTTTCGCTTACGTCTAACGGTAAACAGTGCTTGCGTGGCCAGCGCTTAACTCAGACCCAAACGTTGCGTCGTGTCGCGTCGTTGTCTTTTGTCGTAGTCGTTGTCTTTTTCGTGCATCTGGCATCGCTGCTGGTCAACGTTGCCGGCCATCGGTAATCGGTTATCGGGCATCTAATTACGTTCAATTACAGTCAGTGAGCAGGCAATTTCATAATTGATAAGCGCGCATTTTGTACTGTTGTGTTTGTTGTTGTTGTTGTTGTTGTTTGTGTCCTGATTCGCAACACAGACACACACACACACACACGCTCAACAACAAGCAACTGCATTTTGGCGACGGCAAAATTCCTAACCTAACATTTTTTTTTCCTGTGCTATTTTTTATCAGTTTTGTTGCGCGGCGCACACAAAACTCCCCGATAAATCAGTGAAAAACGAAAACAGTGTTTGAAAAATAATTAAAGTTAAAGCATATATGAAAGCGTATATCTCTCTAGCAAGCCAGTTAATTGGAGAGATATAGTTAATTTGCCAAAAAGTCAACTTTTTTGGTCAATCAATATATAGATATATTTGGCGTCCTGCTGTGCAGGACACTCGTTCAAAGTTGTCAAAGTAAGTGCTTCAAAATTTACTCGCCAACGACTTTCGACGCCTCAAGGGCGTTCAAGCTGGAGGAGGATTTCGTCGGCGGCTGCATGACAATGTCGATGTACTCGACGACGGATAAAATGAAAATGTCAGCGCCCAGTTGTTTTCCAGGACGCTACAGTCCATCCTATCGAAGTTCGGAGCAAATGCGACGCTGTATGCCAAATCCATCTGTAAGTAATATCCCTAACAATACAAATCTGTACCGAAAGATCTTCAAATCAATTATCCAAATACCAAAAATTGACTTGAAATCAATTCCCCAACCCAATTAGACTAAGTTTTGGGTCTAAAGGGGATTACAATGGATATGTTAGATAACATTATTCACACAATAATAAGTACATTCTATGCAAGAGACAGTAGAATCTACCCAGAAGAATCTAGCCCAGATTCTGTTTTGCCGTCGGCGCATTATTTTTGAAATCTTTAAGGCCACGACTCTCCGAATACTTATAGATAGAGTTTACTATACCATAATTGAGTACACTCAACATTACAAGAACGCATTCCTTATTTAAAATAAAAGAAATTTCTTCTTTAAAAACAATCCATAAGCTGATTAACTTGCAACGTCTAGGACTCGTATTCTATCTACAACTATCTGATTAATCCAACTAATCTCAAGTATTAACATACATAAATATTATTGTCATTAAATCAGGAATGTTTGGGAAACTAGCTTGTGTGATTCGAATCTTAAATCGAATATTATATGTTTTAATTTAATAGAATGTCAGCTTAATTATAGTTGATATATGTTAAGAAATGTAGCTGAACCTTCAGTCGCATCCAAAAAAGTATGCTTAATAAAAGTTTAAGCTTTTAATATATATGTTTTGTGATATGGGAAATAAGCGCCTCAAATCGATACCCTATCATTTTATAAAGCATACTAAACTTTCGACACCTTCTGACAGTATGAACTATTTGAATTGTTTTTCATTTGTATAAACACTTCCAAGTTTCACTTGGAAATACGCAAATATCAAATAAAATCTCTTTTCTCATATTATCAGCTTTGATGCCCCGCCTTCATATGGCTTGCATTCAGAAGCCAGACTTTTTCTCTCAAACTGGATTATAGATTGAAGTTTTAACCAAAACAGAAGCCAGAAAAACCCCTATTAATAGCATATCGACGAAATCGTTTCTTTTAGTCAGAGTTAAAAATAATAAAACTGTTGTGCAAAAATAAATATATTCAAGAGTCTGGCGCAACTTCAGGGGAATAAAAATTCTAAATATTATATTCGTAGAAAAATTATGTAGCATACATTTTGGCGCAGCTCAAATTCTGTTGTATTTTATATAAATGAAAATGAACACAATTTTATAGAAATAATACCGAGTTGCTGCAGAGAGAAACAATTTAAAACTTGGATAAGATTCTCCGATTTGCTTTTTTTTTATTTTCCCCATCAAATAGATCAGCAATCAATTGAGTTAAGATTCCCATAAATATGTTCGTCGAATCTTAAGACGTTACAAATATTTCTTCAGCTCCATTTGCTCTGAGCTGATTCATATTTGAACTCGGCGCTTTGAACTTTTGCCTCGTCAAAAACTTATCACCTATGTATTTGCATGCACATATATACGAATTCTGCACACATACAAGCACACATTACGGCTATTATTGGGCTGAGACATGGTTATTTATGAATACGCTGCACACACACACACACACACACACACACACACACACACACACACACACACACGCACACTCAGTCATAGAGAGCGGAAACGGTAAAGCGAATGCATGTAGAAAAAACAACTATAAAAAATGCATAATAATAAGTAAAAGTGCGAGAAATGTGCGTCTGATTGACTTTGCGTTGCCCTGTAATCCCACGGGAAAAACGTTTGTAATTGAAATTCAATTGAATTGAATTAGCGATATTCATTACGATATCGATAACATTGATCGATAAAAACGCACATAAATCGATAGGCAAGGGCAAAGGCACGCAATTGTGCTCGCCAGTTAGCAATATATTCATGTTTTCTCTTGGATGTCAGTTATATCGAAATGTTTTATGGAAAGTTAATTGGAACTCTAAAATACGCAAATCAATTCAATATTTATTCGATTGAGAGATTTTATAACATTCGAATTTGTGTCTTAGCCCAGTTAAATATCTCGCATATCAAACAATCTATGTTTTATTTCAGTTTAAAGCCTTCGAAAACAAATGTGCATATATGTCAGAGGATTTTACATTGAAATGTATATTCAAACATATATGTACATACATACATGGACATATATATGTATATATATATATATATTTTATATTTTCCGGATATTACAGAACGTAACCCTACCCAAGTTTTCTTCTTCAAAATTTCGAAAATTTTCCCCGTGAGAAACTTAATACAATTTACGTAGCTTTATGAAAATGAATTTTTAGTTAATCAAATGAAGTACAAAACATTGCAATCAGAGATTTGCGCTCATTTTGCGCCCGTTTAACTCACGTAATAATTCTTCAACTATGTCGAGCTTGGAAAATTATCATATAACCCGAACTTCACCTACAAGAGGGGATGTATTGTTCGATCTTTAAAAATGATTTTGAAATCGATCGAAAAGATACAACTTTCGCGTAACCGTTTCCGTTTTCCGCGCGTTTTCCACGCTTGCGAGTGGAATTAGCCAAAGCCCCGTCTGAAACTGTAACTTCGGCTGTCTCGCTCATTCGGCTTAGGCTGTGCGTTGATCAACAATCAATCAGTCAATCAATCAGTCAATCAATCAGTCAGTCAATCAGTTAATCAATCAGCTTGTCAGTCAGTCTTAATAGCTTTTCATATAGAGATAAATGTAAATGCAATTGTGTATTTATCGTGCCTAGAACTCTTATCGAATCGCAGTCAACTTCAGTCTGTCTGTCGAATAAAGGCGCAGGACTGACCCCACTTGGCTGACATATTGGTTACAGGGTATCAAATAAGACACGCTAACTGCTTGTCGTGTGTGTGTGTGTAGGGTGTGTGTGTGTGTTTTAGTTGGAGTGCGACTAAAAATAAAAAGCCAGCAAATATTTGTCTTAATTATTGCATAAATGTCACTCGCTGCGCCCGAGGGGGCGGGTCTCGTTGGGGCTATGATAGATTTATGGGGTTCTACTTTTGTATTTTTTTTTAGGTTGTTGTTGTTGTTGTTGTTGTTGTTGTTGGGGACTCTAATGGCGCCGAGTGCCAAGGATGGGCGTAACCTTGAAAAGCGTTTTGTAATTTATTTACATTAAATATTTATTAACAATTGTTGGGCGACAAATAACAAAAACAAGAGGGCGCCATTAAAAAATAGCTGAGCCAGAGAGGCAAGAGAGAGAGAGGCAGAGAGAGAGAGAGAGAGAGAGAGAGAGAGGCAGAGAGCAAAGGTTAATGCATAAATGATTGAAGAAAGCGGCCAAAATGCAGACAGGAACTTGACGAATTGCGAGTCCAACAAAATAACCAGAACAGCTAAACAGATGGCCGACCATCAGATACCCTTGCTTGCGGCTGGGCAGATATGCCAAGGGGAATCAAGAGCAAGACGATATGAAAAGTGGTAGGATTCCCCCATACAGAAACTGATTCGGATTCGACGGATCCCTCCTGTTCAACCTTATGATATAGCTGAAGGATGTTTCATTCAGATATCTTAGTTGGAAAACGTTTTCACAGAAGAAATTAACATTTAAGCGATCCAATTGCAGCTAAGTGTATGCTATAGTTTTTCAATCCGAAACATTACCACTTAACCGAATTTCATGCACTCTCTCCTTCTGCGACACATTGCAAGGCAAAGTTAGAATACCCTAGAGAAGGGAATGTGCAAAGTTGATTGCACGCGCCGCACAGGTGAAAGACGGCGGCGGCTCGCGGGGCGCATTCCACCTGCTGCTGCGCTGCAACTTACAGCCCAAACCCACCCCCTCGACACACACCCCCTCCCCCCCCCTCTCTCTATCTTCGGCAGAACAGCTCTCATTTTAATCTGGCACGGGGCACTTTAAAAACACTTACTGTAAATAAAAACAACGAGCGCGTCGCCTTCTTAAAGGGACGACAACTACATTTGCTTATCGGATTTAACAAACCCCCCCCCCCCCCCCATCCCCACCCCCTCGCCCAAATGGGCTTGGGCCACTTTTCGGCTTTGAGACGCAACAGCAAAAAGCGTATGGCAAAAGGCGAATGATCAAAGCGCCGGATTTATAGGATTTATGCGCTACCCTTGGCTGGGCTCAGCGCATTAGCAGGCTGAACCGGGGGGTGGGGAGGGGGTTGGCGTGTTGGTTAATACCAGCAGGAAGCAGGACGCAGGGCGCAGGGAGGGCTATCGAAAATGCGCGCTTTGGCTGGTTACAGCAAACACTTAACGCCTCGCAGTCCATTTAATGGAAATTTGTCGCCGGCCCAAAAACTGGCAAATGGACAAACAACTGGTCAAAATGGGGAGGGAAGGCATCCCCCCCCTATCCCCTTCCTCTCCCCTCACCGCACCGTTGCCAGGCCATTCCCCTTGGCATTTGTTTGGATGGTGCGCTAAATGGATGGCCGGCTGTGCCGTTAATTTGATTTAAATATTCATAAACTGCATTAAATGGCCGCAACAAATGTGCCAATTAAACGGGCCGCAAACCAATCAAAATGCGATCGAAAGTCCACTTGGTCGACCAGCTGCCGGAGATACCCTGTAAAAAGAGTGCAGCAAATAAAAGCAAGTGACGCAAGGATAGAGCCTGAACCAGCCCATAAATAAAAGCAAGTTAGACCAGGATAGATCCTGCCTTTGCAATTGTGCTAGCTTCCTGCTCTGCTGCTTCTTCTTTCCATTACCATACACTGTGAGAAATACAGGCTAGATTTACTTCGGTCCGACCAAAGCTCAAGGCTCTACCTTTGAAAACGATTTATTCAACTTTTGGGTGGTAAATATTTCGAGCTATGCCTAACAAATCATTTCACAAAATCGATATTTATCGATAATGTGAAAATGGCAGCAGATATCGAAATATATTTATATACAAAGGAAATTCAAGTTGGGTATATAAAGGATATAGCTTGGGGGGTGCCGAGATTAGTTAACTTTTTGCCTGTTCATAGAACAATGCACAGTATTAATTGTTATTATTAGTAATTTTATTAATTGCATTGTGTATTAGAGTACATT